TTATGGCAGCCCCCGTGAAGACAGCGGCTCAGTCACACTCTCTGAGAGAGCCGTGCTGACACCCCGCCTTCTACCTCCCTGTCTGAGGCCGCTCGCACCTCGCAAGGCCTCGCAACTCTACCACCTCGCCCTCCCTCACCCCCTCTCTACCACCTCGCCCTCCCTCACCCCCTCTCTCCCGCCTTGCGCAGGTACATCAACGACGCCTGCGAGGTGACGCAGGAGTACCCGCACAACCCCAACGGCTCCCCCGAGGGCATCGCCGCCCTCTGCTCGCCCGACGGGCGCCACCTCGCCATGATGCCGCACCCCGAGCGCTGCTTCGTCAAGTGGCAATGTCCGTGGGCGCCGCCAGAGTGGGAGGCGAACGCGTCGGCGCCGTGGCTCCGCCTCTTCCAGAACGCCGCCGCCTTCTGCGCATCCACACAGTAGTGAGAGCGCGCGCCGACTCCCGCGAGTAGCGGCGGCGCGGCGGCGCCCCCGGGCGGAGGGCTCCGACGGCGCCCGCGAGCGCGTGCGCGGCGGCCGCCGGCGGATTACCGTCGCAAAGCTAGGCCTGTCCCGACAAATGGACAATGCTCCCTTTGTGGGACCATGTCAACTAGCACAGGCGCCTGAATTTTCTGTATACAAATCAGAGAGACCATGGCAGAGAGAACACAACCCCCTCTCCCTTTTCTGTTTTCTCCCAGTACAAGCTAAAAGTACGTACCTTTACGTACAAATCCCGTCAAAATTTAAGATGTTTGCGAATCACGCACGAGGGCGGCTTGAGAGAGGCACAGAGCAAAGTGCTGGGGCGGCCGGGGGAGCGGGGGGACCACGGACCACGGCGTCCACGCGCAGCCACAGGGGCAACACGCAGCCACAGACTTGGAGGCGGAGGGCTCGGAGGCGGCGGCGAGGGCGGCGGCGGCGAGGGTGGTGGTGGTGATGGCGGCGGAGGGCTGGGCGGCGGCGGCGAGGGAGGAGGCGGACTTGGCGGTGGCGGCGACGGAGGGGGTGGTGAGGGCGGCGGAGGAGAAGGCGGAGGCGGGCTTCGTCCTCGTTCTATCTGCGTTCTCTCTCCTGCTGTTTCATCCTCTGACGCATCGCTCTCCTCGGCCTCGTTCTGAACGCCGCTGCCGTCTGCCGATCGATCCCTTGCTCTCGCTGCTTCTCTCGCCTCTCTGCAAAAGGTGGCTCAGTGGGAAAATCGTTGTCTCATGAGCCTAACATGCGTGACTCCGCCCTCCTCGCGGCATATTTTGGCCCCTCGAGTTTATCGAGCTCTCTCCCACCTACGAGTCCGCCCTCTCGGACTGGAAGGAGGTGTGCGAGAAGCGCACCGCCCGCGACAAAAACAAGTACTACACCGTCCGCGGCGGCTACCTGACTGAGTTCTACCCCAAGAGCGTCCCGCTCCCCGAGCCCGAGTCCCTTCCAGCTACCGACGCGATTCTCAATGGCACTTGCAAATCCACGTACCCGCGGCCGCGGGCGCTCGCTGCCATCAAGAATCACAAGGACTGGTTCGCGCACCAGGAGCTCGTCAAGGCGCGGGATGTACACGTCAAGAACGACCCGTCCCTCGGAGACAGCGCCGTCAACAACCGCGAAGCCGCGCGCCTCGTCTCCGCCTCAACGCCTTTCGCCGGCAAGGCCTTCGATGTCCGTGTCGACGGTACGTACGCGACCGCCCTCTCCTCCGACACCCTCCAGGACGAGCTCCAGCGGAAGCTCGGCCTTTGGCTCTCCGCGGCGCTTCCAAATGAGATCAAGCTCTGGACGCCCCTCCTCAAGACCTCCTCGACGGGCGTTGGCAACGCCTCGAGTGGCGGCACGCCCGCCTCCGTCGGCCACTCCTACGCCTTCGGCAACACCGAGGAGAAGGCCCGCCGCCTGAACATGGGCTGCAAGGCGCGCGGGCAGCCCAGCCAACCCTTCTCCCACAAGACCGGCCACGGCTACGTCAAGGCGCATCGCGGTTTCTACCACGACGCGATCTTTGTCAAGCGCAACAACTTCAACCTGCTGCTCCACGAGACGTTCGGCGGCGGCTTCTCGCCCACCGCCGTTCTCAAGCTGCGCCGCCTCGCGCGCAAAGTCGCGCGCGGCAGCGTTGACCGCACGGCCTACTCGCCCAAGTACTCGCTCTCTTTTATGTCCCACCATGCAGAGCGCATCTCTCTCTCTGTTGTGCGAGGCGTGAACCGCGCCATTCGCTCTCACCTGGCAACCCTGCCTGCACGTCTCGCGCGCGCGTGAACAGGGCTCCAGGCCCCAAATTACGTGTGAGATTTAGAGTTGTTTGGTAGCTGAGTATTTTGGAGAAGTTTTTGAGAGTGGTAGACCCAATTTTGATGTCAAACATAGAACTTTCAATACCGTACTGCATCTAAATTTATTCCTTGACCTGGCTCACAGTCATATCTTAAGTGAGAGAGAGAGAATTCTTGATACGAAACCACGACGACACACACCAGTCGACTCGCATCGGTTGCCTCCATGAACGGCGGAGCTATTCTCGCGCCCACACCACACCTGGCTCCAACGTGGACACGCCCATAGCTGGGGACACTACTAGGTCACGCATGGCATCACAGGAGTTTTATCTCTGGGCCCCGAAAGGCATCTCTAGCAGTGTCGTTACACATGCCCCCTCCCCTCCTGGGCGCATGCGCCTCACGTCTCGCCAGAGCATAAGCCCTTGGCGTGTGGCGAGACGAGTTTTTCGCCATCGCAGCGAGCAGCAAGCCGCCCGCCGCAAACAGCCGGAGGCCTCGCCGCGGCACTGGCTGCGCCGCGGTCCCGCACCCGTCGACGCAGCTCCCCCCGCGGAAGACCGCGCGTAGCGACGTCTTGACGATCGAGATGAGCGCGCTCGAGGCTCGCCCACCTACTGCCCCTGAGAGTTGGTTATGAGTGGGCTCGGCTCCCCCCCTTGGGATCGAAGCTTCCACGACCTCACACCCAACACCACAGGTGGGATCAGAGAGAGACTCCGCACCGGACACCGCCCGGGCACAGACTCCCTACCCATCGGATCGCACAGGGCCCCCTCGGAGCAGCCCACACACAATCACGCATCGGCAGATTGAGTGCCTGAGTCAGGCAGACAGCACAGACAAGAGGAGAGAGAGGAGAGAGAGAGAGAGAGAGAGGAGAGAGGAGAGGGTGAGGGTGTGAACACACGTGAGGAGTGGGGGAGGGTGTCTGTGGTGGGCTGTAGTCGTACTACGTGGTTAGAACCACGCGCCCCTCAGGAGCTTAAGGTAGAGCTGAGCGTCCAAGACGCCTCGGTGCCTCCCACCGGCGTGAAGACCATCCGGATCTACCGAGCTCGTCCTCCGGACGGACCCGTCCCCGCGATGGCCCACGGTCCGCCGTCGCCTGGTTGAACCCCCTGCCTCCCGGTTGACCCCCCGGTCCCCGTACTCGACCATGAAAGAAACTCAAAGTCCACCACAGCCACCAGCCTCCACCTCCACCGTCGAGCCGCGATCGCTGCCGCCCGCGACTCCGCCCGCCGCGTCAGATAGCCGCGACGCGCGCATCGAGTCGCGTCGGAGAGCCGCGCCGCACCAGCAGCAGCATCTGCACCACCAGCAGCAGCAGCACCACCACCACCACCACCCGAGAGAGAAGCGCACCTGCCCGACGCCGCCCGCCGCGTCAGACGCTCGCGACGCGCGCGTCGAGCCCAGTCGCACAGCCGCGCCGCGCCAGCAGCAGCATCGGCACCAGCACCAGCACCACCACCACCACCACCAGCAACAGAGACAGGCAGTGCAGGCGCAGAGGCGCTCGCAGAGCGGCGCTCAGCGCCGCGCACGCCACGCTGCGGACCGTCGGACGAGCGCACCGTACGTCGGCGGCGAGCCGCGTCGCCAGCCGTCTCGCGAGAGAGCGGCGCCGCCGCGTGCGCGCAGCAGCCGCCGCGGCAGAGGCGAGCCGCGGCGACGTCCGCACTAACGGATAACGGCCATTGGCGGTTTTTGATCTCTCTCTCTCTCTCTCTCTCATATCTTAAGTTACATCGAGAGATCAGAGCGTACCCTACCGAAAAACACCGAAACCAATCTGAGACGCGCCCAGGACACAGGACTCCCTGCTGTGCTGTGTCGGGCCGCTGCTCGGCGGCACGCGAGGCGCAGCGTGTGTGCTTCTCTCCACCTCCTCCTCCACCACCGCCCGTCGCCTCCCTCTCCCCCCTCACCGCCGCCGCCGCCGCCGCCGCCACCGTGCGGCCGCCGCGCCTTCCGCCCCCCCCCCCCCGATCTCGTTCCGACGCTCCACCGCAGTCGCTACTTTCCTGCTCGGCGGCACGCGGCACGCGAGGCCAGTCGGCTCCTCTTCGCCTCTATCACCTCGCTCCACCCGCCACCTCCACCTCCGCCGCCTCCGCCGCCTCCGCCTCCGCCGCCGCCCGCCCCGCCCTCTCGTCCGGTGTTCCAACCTCGCAGTCGCGCTCGTCGTCTCGCCTCGGTGCCTCGGTGCAAGCATGCGGTGAGAGAGCGTGATCCATATTTGGCGCCGGGTGTCACTCGACTGCGCCTGCCCGGCCCGGCCCCGCCCTTCGCTTCCGCTGCCAACCGCAGTTGCAAACAAGCCTCCGGGCGGCTCCTTCTTTCGGCAAGTGGCCCTGTGTGTGCTTCTCTCCATCACCGCCCGTCGCCTCCCTCTCCCCCCTCACCGCCGCCGCCGCCGCCGCCGCCACCGTGCGGCCGCCGCGCCCCCCGCCCCCCCCCGCTCTCGCTCCGACGCTCCACCGCAGTCGCTACCCGTCCTGCTGCTCGGCGCTGCCGCACACGAGGCGATGATATGGTCGCGCCGCACCAACCCCCCACACATAGCTCCACGACTAACTCCCCCCCCCTTCTGCCTGTAGGTTTGATATGGTGACGGACGAATGGTGACGGATCCACGATGACACCGACAGCCGCACAGCACCTTCACCAACGCACACTGCCATCCCGAAGACCGCCGCCACTCCTCCTGCCACCGCTCTCTCCTCCGCCGCCGCCGCGGCGCCCGTCCCTCGCTCCCGCGCTCCAACCGCAGTCGTCGCTGCTCTTCGTTCTGCTGCTCGGCGCGGCCGCACACGAGGCGATGATATGGTGACGGATGAATGGTGACGGGAGCCACGATGACACCGACAGCCGCACAGCACCTTCACCAACGCACACTGCCATCCCGAAGACCGCCGCCACTCCTCCTGCCACCGCTCTCTCCTCCGCCGCCGCCGCGGCGCCCGCCCCTCGCTCCCGCGCTCCAACCGCAGTCGTCGCTGCTCTTCGTTCTGCTGCTCGGCGCTGCCGCACACGAGGCGATGATATGGTATGGCGACAGACAGACAACCCACTGACGAGGCGATGATAAGGTATGGAGACAGACCGCACCCTATTCTTGAACTGTGATGCGCCCGGGTCTCTTCGCGCCGCGGGACCAGCTCGGACACGCTCCTCCACCGCACGCCTCTCGACCGCACACTGCTCAACTGCCTTCTGCAATGCGCCCGGGTCTCTTCGCGCCGCGGGACCAGCTCGGACACGCTCCCCCCTCCTCCACCGCTCCACGCCTCTCGACCGCACACTGCTCAACTGCCTTCTGCAATGCGCCCGGGTCTCTTCGCGCCCTGCGGGGACTTAGCTCGGCATGCTCACTTCTCGCAATCTGGCACACGGAGATTCGATGACCATGGCAAACTGGAACACACAGCGAATGGAGACAGCGGCTCAGAGCACGTGTAGACTGCCATGGCGAGGCGCTCTCTTTTGTCGACGATGCTCACTTTGCCCGTGCCCAACCCACTCCCCGGCCCAGCCACTCCCCGTGTAGACACAGTACAGAGGGGTGACGGGCACAACACACATGCCCGTCACCCCCAACCCTTCCCGCTGTCAGCAGCGCCTCACGAGGCGCCGGGCTGCAAGGTCACTCGAGATGACCCGGCGGGGTACATGTTAGTCTCTCGACGTCCTCCCACCCCCGTGCCTAGTTTTGGCTTGTGTGCGTGGTAAGTTCTTTTGTTGCCCTTGGAGCACTTGGGCCCTTGGAGCACTTGGAGGGCCGGTTGCCATTTCTTTTTCTCGCGATGTCTGCCCCGCCGCGCCGCCGCTCGCGCCACCTCGCCTCCGCCGCCACCGCCGCTCCCTCGCCGGCCACGCCGCCGCCCGCCCGCCTCCTCGACCTCCCCAGGGAGCTCGTCGAGCGCGCCCTCTCTCGCTGCGACAGCCCCATCGACATCGCTCGCGTCGCGGCCGTCTCGCTGCTCTTCCACGCCTCGCTCGCGGAGGCGGGCATCCGCTTGTGGGCGCAAGAGCGCGGCTTCGAGCTGCCGGCGCAGCCCGAGGACGAGAGCTGCGCCGTGCGGTGGCTGTGCTATTCGGCGCTGCTGCGCGAGGCCAACCCGCCGGCGAGGGCGGCGGCAAGCACGCTGCACAGCCTCTTCATCGACGGCGAGGGGCGGCTCTCGGCGTGCGGAAAGGCTGAGGACTGGACGCCGGGACTGCTCGGGCACGGCGAGGGCGTGACGCAGCTCAACACGCCGACCCGCCTCCCGTCGGGCACGCTGGGCGGCGAGCGCGCCATGAGCGTGTCGGCTGGAGAGTACCACAGCCTCGCCCTCGCCGCCGACGGCACTGTCTGGAGCTGGGGCTGTGGAGGCGGGGGCCGGTTGGGCCACGGCGACGGGCAGGACCAGCTGCTGCCCAAGAAGATCGAGGCGTTGGCTGGGCAGCGCGTCGTCGCTGTGTCGGCTGGAGTCGATCACAGCCTCGCTCTCACCGCCGACGGCGCTGTCTGCAGCTGGGGCGATGGAGGGGAGGGCAAGCTGGGCCACGGCGACCTGCAGCGCCAGCCGCTGCCCAAGAAGATCGAGGCCTTTGCTGGGCAGCGTGTCGTCGCGGTGTCTGCTGGACTGGAGTACAGCCTCGCCATCACCGCAGACGGCGCCGTCTGGAGCTGGGGCTTGGGAGGCTTTGGCAAGCTGGGCCACGGCGACGAGCAGAAGCAGCTGCTGCCCAAGAAGGTCGAGGCCTTGGCTGGCCAGCGCGTTCTCGCTGTGTCGGCTGGATCCCAGCACAGCCTCGCCATCACCGCCGACGGCACTGTCTGGAGCTGGGGCTGTGGAGGCTGGGGCGAGTTGGGCCACGGCGATTGGCAGAGCCAGCTGCTGCCCAAGAAGGTCGAGGCCTTGGCGGGGCAGCGCGTCGTCGCTGTGTCGGCTGGAGTCGATCACAGCCTCGCCATCAACGCAGACGGCGCCGTCTGGAGCTGGGGCGATGGATACTCTGGCAAGCTGGGCCACGGCGACGAGCAGAAGCAGCTGCTGCCGAAGAAGATCGAGGCCTTTGCTGGCCAGCGCGTTGTCGCTGTCTCGGCTGGAGTCGACCACAGCCTCGCCCTCACCGCCGACGGCGCCGTTTTCACGTGGGGCGAGGGCGACAACGCCTGCCTAGGCCACGGAGAGGACCTGTCGAACCAGCTGCTGCCAAAGAAGATCGAGGCGTGGGCGCCTGAGCAGGGAGAGCAGGGGTCGTGAGTCGGACGTCGTGAGAGTAAATAAAAAATAAAAGTGGGCACCTCTACTAGGATATCGGTAAAAAGATGCGTTCTAAAATTCTTTTCCTCGCGAGAAATCGATTGGGCACATGACGGTGTATAAAATCAGGGCCCTGATCTGAGGAGGGCATCTGAGGATTCACGCGGTCTCTGACTCTCTGTTCTCTCGTCTCGCCGCGCTCGCGGCTTGCGCTTTGCGCTCCCTATGGCGCTCCCCACTATGGCTCTAGCTCTACCACAGTCCCCACGCCGTCTATCGAAAAACACAAACGCAACTCGCCCAGGACCCTATCGCGGTCCGGAATCCGGCGTCAGCGCTCCTCCTCCCCAAATCTCCTCGTTCTCATCAATAGCCTCCGTGGCTGTGCGAGCCCAGGTCGTGCATGCGCGCCTCCCCGCCGCAGCTGTCGTGCGGACAGCACGACCTGCCCGCCGGCGCCGGCGCCGTGTAGTAGTGGTCTCGCTCGCTGTGGTCGTGCACCCCGTGCCGTGAGAAGGGGTCGATCACCACTGTCAGCCCCTCGGGCGCGAGCATGATCTGCCGCTTGAGCTGGTCGGCGAGCGCCATGCTGTCGACGCAGAACCAAAAGTTGCCTCCCGCGCAGAGCGTCCCAAAGGCAAACTCGAGGTAGTGCGCGGGGACCTCGCCGCCCCAGGGGACGTTGTAGATGAAGAGCTGCGCGCCCGCCACCAGCAGCGAGCTGAGCACCGCCGCCGCCACCAGCTTCCTCCCCGCCCGCTCCTCCGCGCCCTTCTCCGACAGCACCGCCGCCGCGAGCAGCAGCTCCGCGCCTGTGGACGTGTCCCGGACACGTCATGGACGGGTCATGGACGACCTCCCCCGCGTGCAGCGGACTCCGCGCCCGCCATCGTCAGCTCGTTGGCATACTCGATCTGGTGCGACGCCGTCTCGAAGCGCTCGAGGTTGACGAGCACGAGAAGGAAGGAGACGAGCGTGTTACCTGCGGGGTGGGGCGGGAGGGCGGTCGGAGAGAGCCACCACCGCACATCACGCGACGACAGCGCACAACGCAGTGGCATGAGTCTGAAGGAATCGAGGGCTGATGCTCTGCCAGCACCTCCGCCGCCTCTCGGGCATCTCATCGAGAGACAGCGCCAGCGGCGTGCGCCGGTGCCGGCGCGGCACTGCTGCACCAGCGTGCCACTCCCGCCCGCCAACACAACCGGGCCTCTCCCGTGTGGCGCGCGCGCCGACGTTGGCGAAGACGAGGAACTTGAGCAGCAGCGGCGAGCAAAAGTCACGCTCCGGCGAGCAGACCAGCGAGAAGGTGGTGACGAGCGCAAAGACGAACGTTGCGCCAAACTCCAGCCGGTGGAAGGTCTGATCCGTCGACACGACTTCGACACCACAAGTGAGGATCACGGTACACACGACCTGGACAGCCAGGTAGGCCACCTAACACGAGAACGGAGGCTGAGACCACGTGCCGGCCAGATGTGGTTCCCAATAGGCGCCGGGCTCGCCGAAAAGAGGGCTAGGATAAAGTTGGCGGTGGAGATTGCTCTTAGCTCGCTCAGGCGCGCTAGGACCAGGACGTTCGTGTCTCGCCGTAGCGGACGGCAATGCTCGCAGTCCAGCAGAGGCTGCTTGTTGGACGCGCCCGGGGGGCTCATCCTTGACAGCAGCGGGTACGTGGATTGCAAATGCGTGCAGGGACGCAGCACGCTCAATAAAAAAATTCTTGGCGCTCCTCCAGCGCACATGGCCGTAGGTGAGCAATTCCTCGCTGCGGCGCAGGACGAGGGCACATTCGGCGAGTGGCTCGACGAGCTACCCTTCGAGGTGGCTGCGGCGACCGCCCGGCTGCTCAAGCACCACGCGCGCTCCGGCGCGTGGGTCGAGCTCTCGCCCGGCAACCCTAGCCAGGCCTCACGCGCTGGCCGCGACCGCAACCGCTCGAGCCCGAACTGCCCGTCAGATATGTCGGAATTGTCGGAGAATAGCGACTAGCACACCTCTGAGTCCCAGAAACCCGAGGAGTCACACAGTCCACCTGTGTGATGCACGCCCTGCGAGCGGGGCGGTGACCAGACACACCAGCAAGCGGGACGTTGTGCAGGTCTTCGTTCAGCGCTTTGCGGCAGACTTTGCGGCAGACTCCCTCCGCAGCGATCCGAGATGTATGTGCATGTATTGTTAAATGATAGGGGCAGTGTGGTCGCAATGCAAAGAAAAGTGGCGAGCGTTTCCAAGTGTATCTATAAAAGAAAAGACAATGTAGCGATGGGAGAACGACACACGCCGCACCACACAGAGAGTTTCCGGAAGTATGTGCGGTGTTAGCCGCGAGACGGCACGTGGATGGAGGCAGCTGGACTGGGCGCGAAATCTTGGAGCACTTGGAGTGCAGTTGGCAACATCCAGGGCCGGGGAGCTAAGACGCGCACCCACACCCCAGCGGGGAAAGAAAGAAAACAAAGAAAGAAAGAAAGAAAACACACAACCCAAGGGAGGGATGGGAGAACGGCACGCCGCCACCACACAGGGATTTTAAGGAGAGGAGTGTGGTGCGGGTGTGCGAGTCGAGACGCCGGGAGAGCTCACAGCCACGCTTCCTCCATGAGGTGTAGCGTCGTGCGTCGTGTCCACCCGACATATGTGTCCAGACGAATCGACATGTGCCTGACATGAAGATGACCTGAGTCAGCTCAGGGTCACACGTCGATAAATGGAGACCAATTCGCGGCTGATTGGCGGGCGCCTCGGTCGTTCCTCCGACATTGCTGGACAGCCGACCGCGGCCGATATCTCGCTGGCACAGCAGATGGTGCGAGGTCAGGATGAGCAGGTGCTCGGCGTCTTCCGGCCGACCCATTCCGAGGCGGCAAAGGCATTGGCATCTGCCCGTCATTCCTCCCACTCTCCACCCCCAGCGCTCGCCCCACCCTTTTCTCCCCTCCCCTCTCGAGGCGTCTGCGCACGTACTCCTCGGCCCGTGCGCGATGTGGCTGTTCCCATGCTGCTGGCCGCAAGCGTGCGTCTGCACACCAATCACCGCCGTCCTCGCCTACTGGCAGTACAATACCCATCTCAAGACGCTGTACATCATCACGGACAAGAGGCCTGCTCGTCGTCGGACACTCACACGCGTACGTGCCGAGCATGACTTCCTCACCTTACACGCAGGTGCATCCGCGAGAACAGCGGGACGCAGTGCAACGCAAAGGGTTGCCTCACCTTTCCCACGTCGGCGTCAATCACGCACGGCGAGTGGTCCACCGCGCGGGCGGGCGGGTACCACACTCACCTTTGCCCTGCAGCAGGGGCGTTTGGCGGCGACCCCACAGCAGGGCCGTGCGACTCCTGCCTGCCGAGCGGGTGGAGAGCGGCGGGCGTGGCGCTCGCGTGGGCGCGGTCCCTTCGCCCACCTCGGTGGGAGCAAGCGCAGGCCCAACACGGTCGCGTTTATACTCACCGCTGGCATGGAGCGCATTCTCGACGATGTTGCGAAGGCCCTGGAGCGCTGCCCCCCCGTGTGCCAGCCGCAAATGGCGGTCACGGTGCCGGCGGGCGTCGGGCCAGGCGACGCCTTCGTCGTCATCGGGCCGAGCGGTGAGCAGATTATGGTCAGCTGCCCGCACGAGAGCAAGGCTGGGGAAGAGATCCTCGTCATGGTGCCCAGCGCGAGCGCTGCAGTCGCCCCCACTCCGGCGGTGATGGTGACGGCCGCCCCGATTGTGGTCGAGGGAGAGGCGGTGACGCCGGTGGGCTAGGGAGGAATACTGGTGCGATTCTAAAATCCACCTTCGGGTATGCTCGTAAGAGCCACATGGACATACACTGGAAATTGACCAACACTCAAAACAAGTCTCAAAACAGCGCGAACAGGCCTACGCCATGGCCTACGCGCTCTCTCTACAAGCGTGCGCAATCTCGCGCAGGTGGGTTTGGTCAGAACGCTCGTCTCTGATGCTTGAGCGACCCGGTCGGGCCGAGACGCGGCGCAGAATGTTTAAAAAATAATTTCGAAACAGACCCAGAGCATGAGCATACCTGTTCTACAAGTGGGGGGTCAGTGTGACGTACTGCGTCTACTATTGCACACACTCGAACTAGTCGCCGGGATGCAATGCCGGCCTTCGAATCCGCTGAATGTAACCCCATTGTGCACAACCGCGTCGGAAGAATTGAAACCACTCGGTGGGTCGGCACCGCTTAGCGCCATGTGCATGCGGCAACCCTCGTCGATGTTCAAAGGAAAGCCCTGCTTGTGCACGCGAGTAAGTATCGCCGGCAAGGTCGCAGGCGAGTCTCGAGAGCGCAGCAGGCGGGTGTGCTTTCTAACATGCGCCTCCACAGTGTTGCTGCTCATGGGCGGCGTCTTGCACGCATAGTGGTCGATCCATGGTGCCAAAAGCTGCTCTTCTGCGCCTTCGCGTGGCAGCCAGAAGGTCCAGTCCCCCACTCGCTTTGGAAGGACGTGCCGGCACCACGGCACCACGGCGTCGACCCAAGTGAGGTCGGGCCTTGCGAGCAGCACCCAATCAAAGGTGCGACCCCTGGACCTTTCGTGCTCCGAGATCATCTTGAAGCACGTGGCGCGGTTTTCGAGCTGGCCAAGTAGGCTTTGCTGGTGCGCGGAGCCGTTCACGTGGCACGTCGGGCACTCGTCGAACGTCGGGTACACAGCGTAATTGGGGCAGTCCGGCGGCGCGTTGTACGAGTCCCTTTTAATCTGGAGCTGCGACACGCCCAGGACGCGGCACGCCCGCCTCACGCCCTCCTCCGTCGCCTGGATCGTGGCGCCGTACCCGACCCGGCTGTCTCCACGCGCGTCTCCTAGCTTGAGGAAGGCAAACGTCGTCACCGGTGCTCCCAGGCGCTCGATAACGTTCTCCTTGAGCGAGCGGTGCACAATCTTATTCTCAAAAGTGCGTGCCGCGCCGGCAATGCAAAGCGCGACGCTCGGTGCCGGCCCCGAGGGCGAGCAGAGCATCGAGGCGATGCTGTCTTCCACGCAGGGCAGCACATCGGCGCTCGTGACCACAACCCACGCGAGCATTGTGCCGAGGGCCAGGGCTGCGCTGCTTTCCAACGCCTAATCTTCGGCAAATGGCACACATGGAGTCCGGGCGAGCGGCTGCCAAGAAGGCGCGCTGAATCCCGGATGTAACAACCCCCCCCCCCAGAGAGATACGAAGAGGCAGACTCCCCAGGGTGGGCGACGGCTAGCGCATCACACTCCTCTCCTTAAAATCCCTGTGTGGTGGCGGCGTGCCGTTCTCCCATCCCTCCCTTGGGTTGTGTGTTTTCTTTCTTTCTTTACCCCCCCCCCCCACAGGTAGGTGGTTGGGCATGCACGTGTGGACCTCACTATTCAGGAGGCAGAGAGGGGTTGGTGGCGGTTTTTTTCGCGAGAGAGCGGGAGCGTGACCACGCGAGGCGTGGAGAGAGAGGACGCCGGACGGAGTGGGACTGCACGAACGACTGACTGCTCCTGGCAGGGCAGCGGCGTCGCGTGTCCATGATCGCGGCGGCTCAGGCGTGCAATCGCTGTTGACCCAGAGCAAAAGTGGACACGTCCTGCCTGTGGTCGTGCGATGCCCCTCTGCAAGCCGCCGTTCACGGCGTCATTCCACACGCTCCCTTCTGGCTCTTAGATAAGTTGTAAGTATCCTGTTCGTAGCCAGGTAGCTGTGAAGAGGATGCGAACCCATCGTCCGATATTGCTTTTGCTTTTGGTATATGGCTGAAATTCTTCGGCAAATGGCACACATGGACTTCGCCGTGCCGCTCCGTCGGCGCGCCGCGATGTTGCTCCGCCGCGCGCCGCTAGCCGAGCCAAGGCACGACGCCGCCATCGGGTTGACGACGGATGCGTGCTGGCGAGGGGTGGAGCGGCGGTCCTGACGCGCCGCTCGTGATATCGGATTTGGCAAGGGGGTGGGAGAGGGGTGGAGAAGCGCCGGCGAAGGGCGTGTCGCCATGCGCATATCGCACGCGCGCCGCGCGCGCGTGTGCGCCAACAAAACCACGTACGAACACCAAGTGAGTGCCTTTGATGCTTGATGCAATGCCGTAGTCGTGCTAAGCCCACGCACGGCTCACGCTGCAGCCGTGTGCAAGTCGCACCCACTTTAAATTCTTTTTGTTGTGTTTCGGACACGTTTCTTTTTTGTTCACCAATTTCTTTTTTCTTGTGTTGCTAACGGCCCGCGCATCCGGTCTTCGGAGCGGCTCCGGCGTATCCGACCGACCTCGGGCATTGGGCGCGGCGCCATCGCCTCCGACTCGCCAACCGATGGCCGCCTCTTCCGACTCGCCACCCGCTGCCGGCGGCGGCTCCGGCCCCACCCTGCGGGCCAAGGCTGGTAGGAGCGGCGCCGGCTTCCGCACGCCGCCTCCTCGCGCGGGCGCGGGGGTCGTCAACCCCGAGTTCCTCGCCTCGGACCCTGGGAAGCGGAGACGGCGCACGATGGACTCGCAGGACCGGCTCTACCAGGACGCGCAGCGGGCGCTCTTCAACGCGCTCACCCGCTCGCAGCCGCCCGCGCAGACGTGCCGCGCGGTGAGGCAGGCGATGCTGAAGTTTGAGCAGGTCCGCAGCGGCCACCGCTACGCGAGTGAGTTTGTGCAGCTTTGCCACGAGCTGGTCGGCAAGCTGGAGGGCGGCAACGACGCGCTCGAGCGGGTGGAGGCGCTCCTCGCGGCGACGCGCTCGGTGGCGGAGAGGGAGGCGCAGCAGACGGCGGTGCTGCAGGAGCGGATCACCGAGCTCGAGAAGCAGGCGCGCGAGGCGGAGGAGGAGCGGCGGGGCGAGGCGGAGCGGCGGGAGGCGGAGCTTCGAAGAAGCGACTTTCGCAACCCTGCCAACTGGCCCGGCATGCTGGTGCGCAAGCTGCCGTCGGCGCTCGGAGGCAAGGGCGCCGCCTTCCTGGTCTCGTTCCTGCTGCTGCGGCCGAGCCAGCACGCGCTGTGCGACTCAGCGGCGGCCCGCTATTGGCTGGGCGAGACGCTGCCCGCCCTCTGGGAGCTCACCTGTCGACCCTGAGACTTTGTACGAGTCGGTCGTTGGCAGCTTGTTTTACTTTTTCGGTTCTTCTTCGCAAGAACACTCTCCGTCTCCGCGGTTTAAAGTCTTCAAGTGGACTTTGAATGCCGTGGGGCTCCTGTCGTCAGACGTGGAGACGCGAGGGTTGCCCCCCCTTGCCCCACCACCTCGTGTGTGTGGAGAAGTTTACCTTACCTTACCTTAGAGTGGAGGGGGAAAGAAATCGGCAGCGCGCCCTACACAGCGCCGCTACAAGCTGCCTGCACAAGCACGCCTCCCCGGAGTTGCTGACTGCGGTGCCTGCCGATGGAGGAGCCGTCGAGTCCCGGCCCCAAAGACCCGCCAAAGTCGACGCGCTTCCTGCCGCGCTTCGACGCGCTAAAGGTTGCCGCGTCGTCAGCCGCTGCAAGCGCGAGCGAGTGGTCGAGCCGCGCGGCCAACGCTTCGGCGGAGGCCGCAAGGGTGGCTGGGGCACGGGCGGCCGAGGCTGGCGCGAAAGCCGCAGATGCAGCGCGGCGAGCCGCAGAGGCGACAGCGGCGGCCACCGAGGCGGCCCGCGAGGCGGCGCGCGAGCGCCTTGCGCGCGAGGACGGCGGCGGGCCGCCAGAGCCGAGACGGTCGGGCTCCCTGACGCCTTCGGAGCGGGAGGCGGCGTTCGCGGCGCTGCTGCAGCGCCGCAGCGTCGCGATGGAGCCGCTGCGGCGCCTCTGCTTCCTCGACGGCGTGCCGGACGGCGTGCACTCGACCTCGGTGGGCCTGCCCTCCTGGGATAGGGGGTGTATGGAACCCATATCACTCGACCGGGCCTGCCCTCGCCCCTCCGCCTCTCTGTCAAGGCGCTCGGCACTGCTCTCAAGGCGCTCGGCACTGTGACGCCTCTTCTTCGAACGCAGGTGCACCGCGCGCTCGCCTGGAAGCTGCTGCTCGGCTACCTGCCGCAGCAACGGTCCGAGTGGGACAGCCACCTCCGCAGCAAGCGCCAGGCCTACGCAGAGCTGCGCGAGGAGGTGACGGCGAGGAAGCCGCGCGGGGGCGGGGGCGGGGGCGAGGACCACCCGTTGGGCGGGGACACGGCCGAGGAGGCGGCGATGGCGGCGTGGCGAGAGGACGAGGCGCTTAAGGTCGAGATCCTAAAGGACGTGGACCGGACGCGATTAGGAGTCAGTTGCACACCTGAATGAATAATGAACAGGCCGAGATCCAGAAGGACGTGGACCGGACGCTGCCTCAGTACATGTTCTTCAGCACCGAGCTGCCGCACGGTTCGCACAGAGAGATGCAGCCGAGAGGCAGCCGAGAGGCAGCCGAGAGGCAGCCGAGAGGCAGCCGAGAGGCAGCCGAGAGGCAGCCGAGATGTGCCTCTCCCAGGCGCGCTGCACGCGGCGGCCCTCGCGCGCGTCCTGTTCGTGTACGCGAAGCTCAACCCGGGCAGCCGGCACGTGGCGGGGCGTGCGTGAGTGGACCAGTGGCGCGACAGTCCCTGGTTCGGCGGGTCCTGTAGGCATCCGGTACGTGCAGGGCATGAACGAGATGCTCGCGCCGATCTACTACGCGTTCAGCGCCGAGCTCGAGGCGGCGCCCGCAGTGCAGGCGCTGCTCGAGCCAGTGACAGCCATTAGTAGCCATTGGCCATTAGTCATAGCCGTTGGTAATAGCCATTGGTGATAGCCCGCAGTGCATGCGCTGCTCGAGGAGGGTCTCAGCTGCTACTTGTCTGAGCTGCTGCTTGGCGCCCCGACGCAGGCACTGCTCCGCGCAAGCCCGAAGCCTCCCGCGCCGGCTGCGGCGCCGCTAGAGCGGCTGGAGGGCGGTGCGGGGTCGGCGGAGGGTTTGGAACCTCGGAAGGTTGGGGACGAGGCGGCGGAGGGCGGCGGAGGGGAGGAGGCGGAGGGCGGAGGGGCGGCGGGTGGCGAGGTCGACTTTGCGGAGGACTTTGCGGAGGATTTTGCGGAGCCGGCTGCAGGTTGTGCGGTAGCCGCTGGCGCTGGTGCTGCTGCTGCTGCTGGCGGGGTCCCTCTTCCGGCAGGCGCTGCTCCGGTCGGCCTTGTTGGCGGCGCGAGTCTGGCCGCGGGGTCGGAGGGGAGGGGGTCGGAGGGGCCGGTCGGGTCCCCTCCTCCCTCGCCACCGGCTGAGGGCGGGGAGGGCGGCCGGGAGGGCGAGGGCGGCGAGGGCGGCGACGGCGAGGGCGGCGGCGGCGAGGGCGGCGACGGGTCGCTCGAGGACGGCAGCTACTCTGCGCAGCTGATTCACGCGGCGTGGGAGGCCATCGAGGCACGAGGAGAGAGGAGACCCCCCCCCCCCCCCCCCCGAGGAGTAGAGCCGACTTGCGGACGCCCTTCCTTCTGCATGCCATCTCCATGCCATCTCCATGTCCTCTCGGGTCCTCTCGAGTCATCTCGAGTCATCTCGGCTCCTCTCGGGTCCTCTCGACAGGCGGACGCCTTCTTCTGCTTCACCGCGCTCATGTCCGAGGTGCGAGACCACTTTTGCTCCAACCTCGACCACACCGCCCTCGGCATCACGGCGCGCATCGAGCGCTTCGCCGGGCTCCTCGCGGCCAAGGCAGCCTCTCTCACTGAGGAGCAACTCAGTCATTAGTGAATCAGAATGAATCAGCGGCTCGCGGCCAAGGCCTAGCCTCGCACCTAGCCTCGCCCGCCCCTTCTCGCCGCGCCAGGGCCCGCCCCCGCCCGACCCGCCTCTCGCCGCCCCAGGACCCTCCTCTCGCCGCCGCCCTCGACAACATCCGCGTCGCGCCGACCTTCTACGCCTTTCGCTGGATCTCGCTCCTCATGACGCAGGCGAGATCTGGGGAGATATGGGGAGATCTGGGGAGATCTGGGGAGATCTCGCTGGATCTCGCTCCTCATGACGCAGGCGACGCAGTCAGCCATTGCGAACTCGTCTCGCTCCTCATGTCCCCCCCCTCCCCCCCCTCCCTTCCCCCGCAGGAGCTCGACTTGCCGGACGTGCTCCGGCTCTGGGACTCGCTGCTCGCCGACGAGCGCCGCTTCGACTTCCTTCTCTACTTTTGCGTCGCCATGGCGCCCGCAACGCGGCGGGAGATGCGGCGGGAGAAGCGGCGGGAGATGCGGCGGAGATGTGGCGTGTGAGATGCGGGGAGAGGGACTCGCTGCAGGCGCGCCCGCCCTGCCGCTGCCTCCCCCGCAGGTGCTCTGCATCCGGGAGGAGCTCCTCGAGCACGGCGACTTCTCCTACTCCGTCAAGGCGCGCCGGGGGGGGGGGGGGGGGGCAGGGGGGGGGCAGGGGCAGTGGCACACTTCACAGCCTCCTTGAAGCGTGGAGGCCCTTCAACGCTGCTCCCTTCCGGGCAGGCGCTGCAGCACTACGAGTCCCGCGTGCCGCTCCACACCCTGCTCGAGCGGGCGCACGCCCTCTACGCCGCCGACCACCCGCAGCTGTACGCGCCGCCCGCCGCCCCGCCTCCGAGGCCGCCGCCGCCGCCCGACAGGATGTCGAGCAACGGAGCCGCTTACCTGTGAGGCGGTGACGCGGCGGCCACGGTGGGGGATGGTGCCGGTGCATGCCGAGCTCTAGTGCAGCCCGCTGCACACTAGTCAGCCCGCGTCGGCTTGTGTTGCAACACAGTCGCCGCTTGGGGCAGCATGCGCTTTGCCTTGGCGCTTGGGGCGCCGTGATAGAGTATGTTTGTTAGGTTCTGACTCTGAACCGCAGACACAGGCAGAACCAGAAGACACGGACCTATAGTACCCATCCTGGATGTCTGGGGTTTTCGGAGATACCGATTTGTACGCGCCCACGTGAGTCGTGACGCACGAGCGACACAAAATCTAGACCCTCTCAAATCCCTCCCCTCTCTATCGCACGCCGCGGAACACAGCGTGTGGCGCGTGTGTCGATCTCCCTCCGGATTTCGTGCACCGCGGCCACCGCGCCCCGCGGCGCTCGCTCGGGATCCGATCAGCGGTCTCCCTGGCTCCCGTCTCGTGCGCCCCACTCGACGTCGTTGCAGTCCAGATATGGGGAGGAGGGCCTCGCCATCTCGCTCCCCACCTCCTCGTGCTGCGCAGGCGCCCCCCCAGCCTCGCCGCCGCTCTTCTCACTCTCGCCGCCGCCGCCGCCGCCCGTCCGCCTCGTGCTGCGTCGAAGGAGCAGAAGAGGTCCCCCGAGAAGGAGCGAGAGCAGGTGATGCGCCAGGCCCACGCTTCGCGACCTCTCGCGAGGTATTTGGCTGCCGCCCGCCGCCGCCCCACCGCCCTCTTGTTCGAGGTGGCTCATCGAGTCGCTACCCGCGCCCCCGCGGTTCAGCTTGAGGCTCGCACCTGCGCCCGAGCCGTGGCGCCGCCGTGCGCCGCGGCAGGGGTCGGCGCAGCGGAGGGCGGCGGCGAGGCCGATGAGGAGGAGGGCTGCGGTGAAGCCGGCCACCGCCTGCGCGGGTGAGACATAGGGAGATGTGGGGAGATATGGGGAGATCGGCTGCTGCTACGGGCACTGGCGCGCTGCCATCGTCGCCTCGACGAGGGACTGCTGCGCGCTGCTCCCCACCCGCACGTGGATGGCAAAGTCGTGCTCCGGCCTGTGCGGACGTGTCGCACTTCACCCCGCCCACTGGGATGGACAAGAAGCCGTGGGCAGTGCGAAAAAGGCGAGAGACAAGGTGACGGACCAAGCAGAGGGGTCCCGGGTAGAGAGGGGTCCGAGGGGTCCCGGGTAGAGAGGGGTCCCGGGTAGAGAGGGGTCCCGGGTAGAGAGGGGTCCCGGGTAGAGAGGGGTCCCGGGTAGAGAGGGGTCCCGGGTAGAGAGGGGTCCCGGGTAGAGAGGGGTCCCGGGTAGAGAGGGGTCCCGGGTAGAGAGGGGTCCCGGGTAGAGAGGGGTCCCGGGCAGCAGTCGAGGTGTGGCAGCGGGTGCACCCTGAGGGACGAGCTCTTAATTAATTAATTAATAATTAATCCGTGCACCCGGAGGGACGAGCGGCAGCTTGCCGCGTCGTCGGCTGCTCGCTCGCGGGGGCAGACCACCACCAAGTCTGGGCCTGCTCACGGCTCGGCGCGTGAAGAGCGTCTTGTCACAGCAGACCAGCAGAACGCCTCTGTCTGCCCAGCCTGCTGCAGCGGCCCGCCGAGGGCTGTGGCAACTGTGGCTGGCGGCGGGGGGTCGCCTCCTCCGCCGCTGTCGCTGCTGTTGCGCCAGCCTCTCGGCGGCGTCTGCACGACGATGCGGTGATTGAGAGGCTGGACCACGCGGTTGTTGAAGTCGTTGCCGTCCTGCCCAGAGAAGTGTCTAGGAAGTGTCACCACACGCCAGAGAAGTGTCTAGGAAGTGTCCTGGCTGCCAGAGAAGTGTCAGAGAGGTGTCAGAGAACTGCCAGAGAGGTGTCAGAGAGGTGTCCCGCCAGAGAAGTGGATCGTCGTCGGTCAATAATGTCACACGAGGGTGTGGTGGCCGCTGCGCCGTCGCCTGCGAGACGGCGAGAGCGTAGCGAAGGGCGTCGATCTGCCTGTCGCACACCTGAGTGCGGCTCGAGAGGTGTGAAGAGTTGCTCTCCTTCCGCCGGTCCGCCTCGCACCATCTCTCGCTCACCGTCTCCCGGTGCTTGAGCATGTACCTATGACTTACGGTGGAACCTTCCTGGAACCTTCCTGGAACCTTCCCGGTGCCTCCCGGTGCTTGAGCATGTACCTATGAGTTGCGGCTGCATCAGTCACCTTCAACACGCACTGATCAAGAATCGCTGTCTCTCCCGGTGCTTGTGAGCGCGCACCTGGCGCAAGAGTCGCCGGCCTTGTCACCAACGTGTCTCCTCGCGTGCTAGCAGCTGGAGCATGCGTGCACCAGCCAACACCCTCGGTGCACGGCGGCGTGGTGAGCGAGCCGTGCCTGCGGGCAGAAGGTTCTAGGAAGGTTCCACAGAGCGAGACGGACCCGAAGACGGGCGGCGAGGGCAGCCCGCGCCAGTAAAAGTAGCCCTCACCCTCGTCGATGTTGATGACCTGCGAGGAAGGGAGATATGGGGAGATATGGGGAGGTATGGGGAGATGTTGATGACCTGCGAGGAAGGGAGATATGGGGAGATATGGGGAGGTATGGGGAGATGTTGATGACCTGCGAGGAAGGGAGAGAAGGTGGGTGCTCCTGCTGCTGCCACTACTGCGTACTGTTGCCTTAGTATGCTACTACTACTGCCACCTCGTCCGCCAGCCGCTCAAAGTCGTTGACTCCGTCGGCAAAGTGCTGCCGGAAGCCGGGCACCTGAAGGTTGGTGGTTCGTGCAATGTGCCGACTCATCAGGGGCAGTGCTGCCGGAGGGGTGAGGGCCGTACCATCGGGAACTCCTCCCAGAACTGGTCGAGGAAGGCGTTGCACGGGCCTAACACGGTGGCGGTCCGAGAGGGTTCAAGGCCCCTTTTTTGTACGGCAGGGAGGCGTGGGCACGGCACCGGGCTCGTACAGCAGCGAGATGACGGCGAGGCGGTGAAGTGTGCCTAGTCTCGGACGCTCTCGGTCCCACGCCTCACTCACGTCGGCTCGAGGGAGGGGCGAGCCAGGGCGGCGTGCCGACCAGCATCGGGTCGTCTAGCTGGTGCACAAAGTGCGCCTCGAGCGGGAAGGAGCGGCCGTCGATCGTGTTCTCCGACGGGGTGTGCCAGTGCATCTGGTAAAACAGGAACTTCTGGCCGCCCACCCAGCTCTCGCCCTTGCTTGAGCCCTCGATCGTGTCGATGAATGTCCCGTTCGCGATCATGCTCTCTGTCGGAGTCGTCTCGAAGAGCTGGAACCCGCTGCCGGTGTTGGAGACGTAGTGCGGCGCCGCGTCGATGTCAGTGGAGATCTCGGGAAGCGACTTCATCGGAATGGCCTCGCCCGTGACGATGTTGATAGGGCTCTGCTCTATCCCATTTATACATCTGCACCGACGAGGCAGATCTGTTAGTCTGCACCCAACGCGGGTCTATCTGTGTGTGCTCCTCGAGATCTTTCCACATCTGCCTCGCACGTCGGAAAGCTTGCGCCCCACGTCTCCCGCTGCACCCATTCGTCCGCCACGTGATTCGGTCCGGGACGAGCATACCGCCACGAGTGCTTATTGGGCGACATCGCACGATACTCGAGTTGGTTTCCGGCGGTCTTTCGAGGAGAGCGTGGAAAAGAAAAAATTCCCACTTTGGATTCTCAGTTCTTGTTGGTTGCCTTCTCAAGCACTAGCATCCGGGCGCCGCATATATTCTAAAAAAGAGGGGAAATATCAGTGGTACACTAACCCGAGAAACCCGTCGGCGTCGCTCCTCATCGCAAACCCCGTCAGCAGTCCACGGGTAGTGTAGTATGTTCGTAAGAGCTACATTACACTGAAAAGGGGCTTACCTCGCCGCACCGTCGCACGGCACGCGCTTGAACATCAGGATCGGGTCTGCGTGCGTGAGGTGCAGCGCGCGCGTGAAGGTGGTGAGGAGCGGCGTGGGCTGCACGGCGCTGTAGCCGGCGCCCCGGTAGAGGCTGAGGGCGCCAGCGTTTGCCGCCTCGACGTGCAGGTAGATGCCCTCCACGCCCTGCGCGCTGGCCTCCGCCTCCGCAGCTCGCAGCAGCGCGCGGCCGAGGCCTCGCTTCCTGTGCGCGCTGTCGACGGCGAGGGTGGACATGTACAGCGAGCCTACGGGCACAGGCCTCGGTGTGTCGCGGACGTGTCTCGAACATGCCCCGGTGTGGACGTGCGCAAGCTGACCAGTCAGCCCATGCGTCGGCAGCTCCATCTCTTGCGAGGAGAGGTCGACGGTGCCGAGCAGAGGCAGCCCGCCCTCGGCTCCGTCGGCCGGCACACCGGCCTCGGCCGCGATGAAGATGGTGCTGCCAATGGCCACCCGCTGCGAGAGCTCGGCCGCGAGCCTCCCTGCCGCCGCAGCCCGCGCAGTTCTCTGGTTCGCCTCGAGGAGGGAGGTCATGAAGGGCAGCAGCGCCGGAGCTGCGGGTGACTCCGGCGCAAACACGTCGAGCATGAGCCGTGCGACCGCCTGTAGTTCGTCCTCGCCCGCGATGCGGACTTGGTGAGACTGGAGCGACGCCGGAACCTCCGAAGGCGCTGGAGCAACTTTCATGCGAGCGACGCGGAAGATGTCAGCCCGGCCGGGGCTCGAGCCGGCAGGCGGAGCGAATGCGAAGAGGGCGGCGGCGAGCATGTTAGAGAGCGGCGGCGGCGTGGGCGGCGGAAGCTGTCGCAAAGTGGGCGGAGCGGTGAAGTAGATGCAGCACGCAAAAAAAATGCAAACCGGCAAAAAAGTGGACTCTGCTGAACAAAGGTGCGCGCCACCGCCCTGCCCGTCGCGCCGATCTTAGCTAGTAGGCGGCTCGATCGAGCCCGCTGCGGGTTTCTGGAATTTGGGCTCGCCGAGGTTTTCCGGAAAACAAAAAGGTAAGGTAAGGTAAGGTAAACTTCTCCACGGTTACTGGACCGTGTTCAACGACGTTGAACATTGTTCAACGTCGTTGAACACTACTTAGGAATGGCCGTAGCTCCTCTCCACGAGCGATTGAGAAGACGTACCACGTGTCGATTCTGTATAGAATTGCAAGGCGCACACGCTGGTGCAGGCGGGGAGTCGTCGATCCGACTCGTTCCGACGTGAAGTCGCCGTGAAGGATTGGCAAACAGGGCATTTTGCCCAAGATTTGCCCTCCCGCGCGATCTTCTCGCGTCGGCAAGCGCGCGGGCCAGGATGGGCGAGCCGGTCCCGCCACGCTGGACGGGCCAGCGGCTGGCACGCGCCGGCCACTCCGGCGGCGCGGCGGCCTCATCGCGCTCGTCGTCTGCGAGGCCACCGCTCGGCGTCGCCGCGTCCGACGGCGATGGCGCTTGGCTGTGAGGTGGGATGGCGGCATGGTGCGCGCGGACGTGGGGGTGGTGCGGGATGCGCGTGCCAGCAAGCATAGTTTCACCTCCCCAACCCCGCAGGCGCGCCGACGTGCTGCCCGAGCGCGTTTGGAGGCAGCAGCAGCTCCTCGCGAGGCGCCTTCGGAGGGGTGCCACACCCCTTTCCCAGCCGCGCGCGAGTTGAGCTCCGATTTGCGCTCTTTTTCGCACACGCCCGACGCTAGTAGGTGAGGATCGACCATCCTCCGCAAGCAGGGCTTCGTCGGGCGCGTCTTCGTTGAGCGGTGGTGCATCTCCCATGCTCCCACCCGCGCCCTCCTCGCAGCCCGCCCGCGGCCGACACCGACGCCCTGGTCTGGATCCAGCAAAAGCTCGGCGTGCAGTACCTCTCAAGCGGCATTCCACCGCCTGCCACGGGTCCACCACCGTACATTGTGATGAGACGAAACAAGATGCGGCCAACAATGGTTGAGCCAATGCAGCCTTGTGCAAAAACTAATCGTGGGGCTCGCCCACTCCCCAGCAGGAATTGTGGGATCGCTGGCGGGGACAACAACGGTAGCGGTGGGGAGGGCGCCGGCGAATACGGAGTTTGCAGCGGTGGGTAGGGTGGAGACAGCGGCGGATATGACAAAGATGGTGGCACGTTGAAGACGTTGCTGAAGCAAGCGAGCACCAGCAGGCCCCCCATAGCTAGGCCGGCCAAGCTGGAGCATACCAACATTCGCAAGATCGGGCTGCCGGGGTCAGATTTGAGAAGAGGAGTATCTGCCTGCCCCTCTTCTGGCCGAGTAGATTCGCCACGAGCGGAGTCAGCGTCGAGGCGTTCAGGTGCGCTGGCCTCGAGCTGGAAGGCGTCGCCATGGTCCACGCTCATGCCGCGTGCGCGTGACATGGCGTCTCTACTTGTCGGGCGACCGGCCCGCCGGGGGGGGCGGGGGCGTTCGGTCCGGTGCCCGCCGTTCGGGGCAAAGGCGGCAAACCCCGCAAAAAGACCTGTGGGCAGTGAGCAGAGAGCAGCTGGGCATCTGCACAAGCTGTGCATGTGTCACTGCGCGGTGCGCGCACACGCTCCACGCGTGGCAATGGGTAGGCTGGACGAGGCGCTGCGGTGCGCGCAGTGGTGTGCTGGTGGCGCTCACTACCTGGCGCACAGCAGCGGGGCCAGCGGCGGCGAGAGGGAGCAGCAGAGCCGCAGACCGCGCAAAACCCGCCCGCCGTCGAACCGCCAGTGCAATTTTTTGAGAGCGCCTTCAGACTATAGTCGAGCGCGTCGGAGAGGTGTTTCGACACCGAGTGTTTGTCGTTGTTTTTTGAGCTTAGCCTTCGATGTTATGAAACAAACGAAAGGCGGCCATATGGCATGTCACTCCCATCCCTCCCACCCTCCCCTTGGGTTCTCTGTTTTCTTTCTTTCTTTCTTTCTCTCGGTTTTTTCCAAAAAGCGGGTGAGACTGGGTTTGGGTGGGTTAGTCATGTCCCCGCCACGCGCACAAATGGAGCTCCGCAGACCGCACTCGTCGCCCCAGCCTCGCGAGAGGGGGGCTGCAAGGATAGCTGGTGAGATTTTTTCAAAAAAATCCCAGCCAAGCAGGCAATGTGATGCAGCGCGCCGAAAAAAAATCGAGGAACGGACTGTGAAGTCGAGGATGCAACAAGAATGGGTTACACATCAAGTGCTCTCTCTCTCTCTCTCCACAGCACCAAAAAGCAAGATGCTCCTATACTCAATACTGCCTGCACGCGTGCGTAATCGCACACCCGCGTACTCCCTACTGACAGTCGTACGTCGCCGGCAGCTCCGGCGACTCTGGGTACCGCCGCCGAAACTCGGCCTCCACCGTCGCTACCCTCTCCGCGTTGGCCGTGGGGTCGCCGGGCTTGTCCCAAAAGCAGACCCCGCCCTGCGACCGGCGCTGGCCGTTGTTGAGCTCGCCAACCTCTGCGTGGCCCGCGTCGCAGTAGTCCTGGTAGCGCCGGTAGCCGCCGTCGGAGATGCGAGAGAGGTCGTCGAGCCGCACCTGTGGGGGGTGTGCATGCGAGGGAGGGGAGGAGTCGCTCACCGTTAGTCCTACTGTGCTGAGGCGGCACACCGCTCTCGCGCCATCGGGGGGGAGGGAGCCTGTCAAGGAGTGGGGCTCTATTCACAGCTCTTCTATTCACAGCCTGTCAAGGAGTGGGGCTCTATTCACAGCTCTTCTATTCACAGCCTGTCAAGGAGTGGGGCTCCACCCGAGGCGTCGGGAGGGGAGAGCTGCGCAACTGCACCACTGGCCACGCCTACTTGCTACTACCTACTACTGTGTCTACTCGAGCAGAGGCCACGCGCACCTCGCCCATCGGGTGGAGCCGCCAGGTGCATGTCGGGCTGCCGTCGGGTCGCCTGTTGCGCCAGGTGCGGTAGAGAGGGTGGAAAGGGCGAGGTGAGGCCAGCGGCGTCTCCCGCGCGCCTGCTGTGTGCGCACTCCCCTCCTCGCTGCAGCCGCTTGCACGCCGCTCCCTTGCGCTCCCACGCCTCGCCTGGGCAGCTGCCTACCACACATTGGCGACCCATTGATGACCATCATACCACGCCTCTCGCCTCGGCAGAGCTTCGGCTGGCAGCGGCCTGCTAGCGAGTACCAGGCGGCGCCCTCGTAGCCGAGCTGCTCCGCCTTCTGGCAGCCGACGTAGAAGCCGCCTCGGGCCGTCCAAAAGTCGGCTTGCGTCGCGCACTCGTAGATGGTGCACCTTAGACGTGAATGCATTGTCGATGTGGTTCAGACGTGGGGCTGCGCCGCGCACTCGCGTGTAGCTGTGAGAGGTGTGGACCTGCCACGGTCGAATGCGACGAAGGGCCCGAACCCGGCGCCGAAGGGGGGAGGGTTGAGGAAGTCGAGCCTATTGGGGTAACGCGTCAACATCGTGATGCCCAATCTAAGCAGGCGTGCCGAAGGGTCGAGGACGAGGTGGGCCGGAAGCGGAGGATACGCGAGATCTCGTAGTGTCGCGTGCACACGCCGCTGTCGTACGACTGCGCGTTGACCACCTAGAGACACTTCCGAGACACTTCCGAGACACTTCCCAGCCGCCTCGTACATGCGCGCCGACCGCCTCGGAGTGGACGTACTTGAGCACGCCGGGCAGGTTGGCGAGGTTGTGGTTGCCGATCGGGTAGTCGACGTCCGACTGGGCGCGGTGGGCGCAAAAAGGAGGGGTGGGGGGGCGCAAAACGGGCCGAGGTGAGACATGTCTCGGAAGTGTCACCTGGGCGCGGTAGATGTAAAAGGAGCGCACTCCGTCGCGCGGAGGAGGAGGCGGCGGCGAGAGCGGCGGGGGGGGCGGCGAGAGGTGGCAGAGGTAGCGGTAGTCTCGGAAGGAGACTCGCAGCCCGCCGCAGCAGTCGAGGTACGAGCCGCTGCTCCACGCGTCGCCGCCTAGTGCATCACTCATAATTAAGAGTTGCTATTCATTGATTCGTAGTCGAGGTACGAGCCGCTGCTCCACGCCAGCGCGAGACACACGAGGACGTGTCTAGGAAGTGTCTCGGAGGTGTCTAGGAGGTGTCTCGCCCCGCCTGCCGGAGTGCAGCGCGCAGGAAGCTCGCCGGGAGAGAGAGGCGGAAGCGGCGGCGGCGGCGGCGGACGCGGCCCCGCCGCGCCGTGCCGCTGCGGGCACTGGTCGGCTGCAGTCGGCCACGGCCACACCGGAGGGAAGGGGGGCGGGTGCGGCGGCGAGGGCGGCGGCGAGGGTGAGGGCGGGTCTGGCGGGGCGAGGGGCGGCTCGGGGGGCGAGGAGGGGGAGGCTGGCCCGAGGAGCGGGCAGGGGACGAGGGGCGGCTCGCCGCAGAAGCGGCAGGTGAGGTGGCCTTGCGCGTTGCAGCCAATGGCTCCGCGTCTGGTGGCGCAGGAGAGGTCCTCGAAGCAAGGCGAGAGCGGGGAGGCGAGGCACGAGGCGCAGAGCGGCGGCGGCGGCGGCGGCGGCGGCGGCGGTCGCGGCGGCGGCGGCGGCGGCGCGGGTGGCGGAGAAGGCGGCGGGCCCACGGGAGGTGCTGGAGGCAGCTGTGCTGCAGAGGCGATGGCCTCGTCGTGCGCCGCCGAGCCGAGGAGGAGGAGGCCGGCGAGGAGGAGGCCGCAGCAGCGCGCCACGAAGAGCTGGCGCGACACCGCCTCGGCCGACGCCGCACCAGCGGCCCCCGCGGCGTCTTTTTCGTCCTCAAAGTCGCTGTCGTCGCCGTCTTCCTCGGCCGCCGCGACTCCATCATCGAGCCGCGACTGCATCGTGCCCCGCCGCGAGCTGAGCCGATAGCAGACGTGCTCGATCACGTTGGCGAGCAGAAGGAAGAGGACGCCGATCAGCGGGAGCAGCTGCCACATATGTGAGTGACTGTGTCCGCCTTGCCCTCGGTGGTGCGAGCGTACACGACGGCGGCACGGGCCGTTTGAAGGCGCCGAGGTGTTTGCTCGTGCCGACCTGAACGAGGAACTAGCCTCAACGTGCAGACGCCGTACCCGGGTACCCTCACTCGCCCTCTCCTCCGCTGGCTGGGCGGCTGACCACATACACACCTTATTAAGAAGAATTTTACAACAAACCTCCCTCTCGCGACACTGGGCACGGGACTGGCGCGCACTGGCACTAACACAGGTTCACTACGGGAGCCGAAAAAAGGGTTTAAAGAAATAAAATAAAAGGGATCTCATCCCGAATGAGGATTCGATCGTGCGTCCCGAAAACACGGGATACCTGCACGTTGGCCTCTGCGCCCTGTAGGTGCACCTCTGGTGCTTGCTCCCTAGGACCATGGTCCACCTCGGCTTCATGGAGCTGCCGCTTTCGGGCCCGTTCAACTTCGCCATCGCTTCAGGGGGCATGCTCATGGGCATCGTCGTGTCCATCCTGTGCTACCAGTTGTCCGAGCTCACAGGGCCGGCGCTTCCGCTGGGGGGCGCCGAGGCGCTCAAGGCGCGTGGATTTTTGGGGTTTGGGGACGATGGTGGCGACGTGCTCACAATCGAGGCCGCAGTCGATGGTTTCGCAAAGGCATGCCGCGTGCCGATGCTGGCGACGGTTTCCTGGTCCGTGGTCTACTACAACATGCTTGGCACATCAGTGAATGGGATGTGCGCGGTCCATATCTTCAAGATGATCCCGCCGGACAAGGTCGCGGACAGCTCGCGCATCCGTCGTCGACGCAGAGCCCCTTCCTTCCCCCCACTCACCGAGCGCGCACGCTGAACCAGGTGACGCCCGACTGGAGCAACATCTCCTCGCGGTTCAGCGGCAACATGGTTGAGCAGGCCCCTTGCCCCGCCACGCGCCAACCAGTCCTCCGGGATGCCTCCACGCGTCGTAAGCCCTGTAAACTAGGCGCCCGTCTTCCTCACCTCGCTCTGGCTCTACACCATCTTTGTCGACGCCGGCTCTGCCGGCGTCCTCGGCCTCGCCCTGGTCGTGCAGCGGCTCGTCTACCCCTTCTTCTACATGGTACAGGGCAAATTCACCTTCTGGTTCGAGTTTGTCACTCAGCCCGGCTACGGTATCAACGGCTGCCTCATGTGAGGGGCGCCCATAGGGCGATCACGCGGGGCGAAGAAATAACAACGCGCCGGGGTGGGAGTGCTCGCTGCTCACACCGCCAGCCTTTTGCCGGCAGGCTCGGCGTGATTGTGACTGTCCTTGGCGGCGACTGGGTTGGCCGCTTGTAGATGGATGACCGCTTCGCTCCCTCGCCGCTCGCATGCTCCCTCACCAATCACCCGGCCTGCCTGTCGGCTAGCTAGCCCACGAAATCAACTCCGGTGCAGGTGTCGATGGTGAAAGCCAGCCCGTACCTCATGCCCTTCTACGGCTGGGTCTTTGGCTCCTTCACCCTCTTCCCAGGTGCGGCCGCGTGATGCCCGCTCCTGGCCCGCTCGCCGCGCCACGCACGCTGAGGTGACCTCGGCACCGCACGCAGGCCTGCCCTTTGCGCCCGCGTTCGCCTTTCTGCACTACAAGATATTCCGGGCCCTGCACGCGCCGGACCCCAAGGCCTCCGAGGATGAGAGCAAGGCGATGGTGTGAGCCGTTGAGTTTATCACGCACGCAACAGTACTAAATCTGCCCCGGGCCGACGACCTTCACAGCTACAGCGCTCACGCGCGCACAGAGGTGATTGTTTCGAGTATCAAAAGGGGTCCCGTACCAACCTGCGGAATCGACCATCCGACTCGGGACGACGTCCGCCGCAAAATGGTGCCCGATTACTTGGAGCAACCTTAAGAAGAAAAATGAATGGCGGACGGCGCAATGGTGCCGAGGAAGATCCCTTGCGACCCAGATCCGCCCCAGATGCCCGCCGACCCCGGGGGGCAGAACACCCGCGCGTGGTCTTCGCAATCACCCTGCCCGTGTTGGGGCGGGCAGATGTCGGGGATGAGCGGGTGCCCACCGGTGCGTCCAGCGAGCGGGGCCTTTCGCGAGCATTTTTGCGCGCAATGCCGCGACGGCACGCTCTTCATCCCCGCGTCCCGGATCCGGATTGTGGAGGTTGGAGGAGCTGAGCTTGCAAACACGCAGTCGGGTGGGGTTTGGAACGAGCCGGCGCGCAGCCCTGGCCGCCGCAAGCGGCCGCGTGCGCCTCTCCCTGCCCACCGCGTCATAAACCAGACCGTGTGCTCCACTGGCCCAAAGCTTGTGGTGCTCCGCGACGACGAGACGACGGCGCCGCTGCCCGGCCTCGTGCGCCTCTCGGACGCGCTGAGCTGCAGCATGATCGGCTTCAAGGTTGGAAAGACGCTCAAGCCCCTCGCCCCCCTCTCGCGGGAAGAGCCGGCATCGAGCTCGCCATCAAGCGAGCCCTCCTCGCTCGACTCGAGGGACAGCGGCTTTGAGGCTCATCCGGCCGCCGCCTGGCTGCAGCGGCAGCCTCCCTCGCTCTGCGGGCAGCCTCCCTCCTGGACGCTCGAGGACCTGCTCGATGCGACCGCCGCCGCGCTGCACGGCGAGGCAAGCCTGCACGGCGAGGCCGCCTCACTGCACATGGCGCCGGCCGGCGCGCTGCAGCTGCCGCCCGGCGATGAGGAGGGCGGATACGCCACGTCCGGGACGTACTCCGCGGCCGCCTCGCACGACCCGTGCTATGCGGAGGCGGGGCCGGCGGCAGGGCTCGCGAGCGGCGAGGCGGGGGAGGAGTTCTTGCGGCTGCTCTTCTCGCCCCTCCTCTCCCCTCCCGCGTCGCCGCCCGAGCCGTCGCCGCAGTCGCCCGCCCTGCCGCCGGCCAACGGCAAGCTGCTGCTGCCCTCCCCCACCCGCCCCCCGGCCCTCGGAGGGCCGCCCTCTGGCCTCGCGCTCGCCATCGCCGTCCCCTTCACGGTTGCCATCTTCGGGCCGCGAGGAATCCTCTCGACAGCGCTCGAGACGTCGCTCGCAAACCACTCGCACAACCTGCTCCACCTCGCCCTCGCCGTGCCGTGGCCCTGCATCGCCTACCTCGTGCAGGTTGCGCCGCCCTGGTAGAGACTGGTAGCAGAGACGGGTAGCAGAGACTGGTAGCAGAGACCAGCCGAGACTAGCAGACGGGAGCCGGCCGCGGCATCGGCATGCCGCAGTTGATGCGGCTCGGCGTGCACGGCAAATACTAATTAACTACTAATCAACTACTAATCAACTACTAATTAACTACTAATTAGGTGATGCGGCTCGGCGTGCACGGCGCGGCGCGCTCGTGGATCGCCTACGTGCTCTCCGCCCTCTCCTTCCGGATCTTGGGCGTGTGTCTCTACCCGCTCGACGTCCTCTCGGCGTCGCGGCTGGCGGCGGTCAGCAGCACGCTAGAGGGCCACCTTTCGGGCCGGGTCCTGCCCCTCGGCCTCGCAGTCGTAAACGAGTGCCAGCCGCTGGCGTGGCACGTCCGGGCGCGCCGCTCCCCCCCCCCCCCCCCAACCCCCTCCCCTCCCCTGCGGCATCTCGCCCGCGAGCCACAGCGGAAGAGGCGTGTCGCTGGACTGCCCAGGCGCTTCTGCTGTGCGCCTTCTTCCTCGGCGGGTGTCTGCTGCACACCATCGTGTGTGTCCGCCTCCAGCTCGCGGGCGAGGGTGGCTTCGGCCTCTTCCCCGCGTCGGGCGTCGAGTACCTCTTCATCTTCGGCCTGCCCCTCCTGGCCGGGGGAGCGCTCGGCTCGCTCGTCCGCGCCGGGCTTGGCCGCGTGCTTGGGCGGGCGGGCGGGGGAGCGTTCCAAGAGAAGCAGGTCTCGCGGTGCTAGCTGGTCACTAAACTCTAAGCCGTACCCGACACTCTAGAAGAGCGGCGAAGTTGGGGCTGCGGCTAGATACCCGTACATCTACTTTCCTTTCCTTTCCTTTCCTTCACAGTGACAAAGACCCAACGGAGGCGCTCTCAAAACAATCCCCCTCGGCTCCCCCCCCCCCCCCCAAAGCGCCAAAGAAAAAAAGCCCGTATGCGCTATGCCGTATGGGAGGGATGCGGATGTGCGGGGAGGGCACGCCGCCACCACACAGGGATTTTAAGGAGAGGAGTGTGGTGGTGCTAGCCGTCGCCCGGGCTCACTGAAGGGGAGCAGCGCACTGATGGCGACCCACTGCGGAATCTGGACCCACGACGGTTGCATCCCCGGAGGAGGAGGGGGCAGCTGGAGGAAGGCCGGATTGCCCACCACAGACCACGGAATGAAGCGCAGGGTAGAGCCCACCACTGTTGAGTCGACGGGTATCACCAGTGGCTTTGCGGGATCGGGGTGCTGCTCGGCTGGAATGCTGAGCTCGGCGGCAGTGAGGTCTGGCATCGCAGCGCCGGTCGTCTCGTCGAGGGCTACCTCTCGACTCTACTCCCGTGTCACAACAACGAGGCACGAGAGCGTGCACGACAGAGCGACAACGCAGCGCACTGCCGTCCAGTCGGTCACAACAACGAGGCACGAGAGCGTGCACGACAGAGCGACAACGCAGCGCACTGCCGTCCAGTCGGCGAAGGGACGGCTGCTGCGCAAAGTGATCAGTTCTAATGAATGTACCGGGGCCCAACGGATAGATGAATCCGGGGCACCCTCCGCTCGAATCCCTGGCCGGGGGTTCGAGGTGGCCCCCACCCTGGGGCCTCCCATCAAAGGGACTGCGGCAGAAGACGCCCAATCTTGCACAAGTGCAAGAACCATACGGAGCTCAGAAGCGCACCCAGCGGGCCGGATGATCGGGATCGGGTTACGGGCTAGAGAGCCCTAGCCCCGCCGAGATATATTTTTCTGCCCATCGCACACGCCACCAACGCGAAGGCGCCCCGCAGGCGATGCTACCCTCGCTCGTCCGACTCGTCGCTCTCTACTTCCTTGCGATTGCCTTCTGCGACCCAGACGCCCACCAGGTGGCGCTGCCGCTGAGTGCCAGTAGCAGCAGCGCTGACGATGGCACCGCGCCGCCGCCGCTTCCTGTCCTCACCGCCGAGCGCATTCGTGAGCTCCGCGGCGTCTCCGACGCGATGGACGCGCTCCCCGACCAGATGGAGCAGATGCGCGAGGCGCTTGACGCCGCGCTCGACGTCAACCGGTCGCTCGGCGTGCCTGACCGGCTCGAGGCGCTCGAGGCGCTGCAGGAGCTGGTGGAGGACGTGGACAACGCGAGGGACCTGATGGCGGCGGGCGGCTTCGCCGAGGTCAAGGGGCTGCTCGCGGCGGAGGAGCCTCGTCTCCAGGCGGGCGCGGCGTGGGTGCTCGGCACGGCGGCGCAGAACGATGAGGCGCTGCAGTCCCACCTCTGCTCGGCCGAGGTGGACGTGATGCCTGGTCTCGCGGCCGCAGCGAGGCGAGCGAGTGTGCTCCCGACCGCGCCGGCGAGAGGCGTCTCGTGGCTGCTGTAGGCCTGGCGCGCCTCTTCCGGGAGGCGGCCTCCGCAGAGGTGAGGGCGAAGGCGCTGTACGCGGCCTCGGCGCTGCAGCGGTCGCACGCGCTCGGGAGGCGGCAGTTCGAGCTCGCGGGAGGCGTGCACGCGCTGGTTGGCGCGAGATGGCCCCCGATGTGACTCGAGCTGACTCGAGCTGACCCGAGATTAGGCGTGCACGCGCTGGTTGACGCGCTGGCGGGCGAGGCTGCGGCGAGCAAGCTGCGGCTCAAGTCGCTCACTCTGCTGGCAGACCTGCTTGCGGCGGCGGCGGGGGAGGAGGAGGAGGCGGAGGAGGAGGGGCGGACGGGCGGCGAGGGGCTGGCGGGCAGCGCGCTGGGCGGCGCCTTGCGGCACAACTCGTCCGTGTTGTGCGATTCGCTCCTCTCCTCGCTCGCCGCCCCCGCCGTCGACGTGCAGGAGAAGGCGGTCCAGTTGCTCGACAAGCTGCTGCTGCCGCCCGCCGCAAAGCTTCTCCGTGGAGCGGGCGGCGGGTGCCCCTTCGGCGCCCTCGCGGAGCGGCTCAGCGCGTGGGCGGGCTCGTGCGGCGCGGACGTGGACTGCCACGAGCTGCACGAGCGGGCGGCGGAGATGGCGGAGGAGCTGGGCGCGTTTGCAAAGGAAGAGCTGTGAGCGTCGAGCGGTCGAGTTGAGGCCGGCAAGGCCAGGTGGTGAGTGGATAGCCGGTGCGTGTGTGGTGAGAGAGGGCACATGACGTACCTTACGGTACGGGCTGTGTGAGTCTGTAGTGGGAAAAACTCCATTTGATGGATCAGTCAGTGTGACAGAACAATTGCCATCATCGAGCATCGTTTTTTCAATTTTGCGGTTTTGGCCGCCGCTTTTTATTGCAAGGATATTCCCCGCGGAGATTATCACACACACACACAAGATCTCAGAGACACGAGGGGCCGCTGTGGGGCCCGGCAGGCGCAGCAAGAGGCCATAGTTGTAGAGGCCACGGCCACCCGGTCGAGGGCTGGGGCGGGGAAGTCACAGACCCAGTGAGTGCTCAAATCGAGAGTAAAATAATTCTTCCGCGTTGTCGGTTTCATCCACCCTGATCAGGGGCCGCGCGCACACAGGCGGGCTAGTGAGAATGGGCTCCGGCCACTCGCCCGTGCGGGTGTAACCCCGCATCTGTCGGACTGAGGCCTCGACCGCTCCTCGCGGCAAGCTCTCGAGCAGCTCGAGAAGCTCGCCCGCCGCCACCGCCGCGTCGAACTGCGTCCTCATGCCGAGCGCGCCGCATACCCTGCTGCACCTCGTCCGGCGTATCGGTTTCTACAGTTTCATAGCCGGACGAGTCAGCGGAGGCGGCCCTGGCGGGCGGAGAGTCGGGCGACGGGTTGACTCAGCGAATGAGCGCGAAATCGCCGTAAAATTCTTTTGGCGCGCCTCAGCGCTCGAGGTGCATGGGCCGCGTTATCGCCGTCATCCCCTCCCGCTTCGCGTCGACGCGGCTGCCAGGAAAGGCGCTGCTCCCCATGCTCGGTGGCGAGCCGATGATTGCGCACGTCGTGCGCGCTGCGCTCGCCGCCAGCACGGTGCAACGAGTGCTCGTTGCGACCGACCACGAAGGCATCGCCGCCGCTGCGGAGAAAGCTGGCGCCGAGGCGGTGATGACCGACAGTGCGCTTCCGTCGGGGACCGACCGCGTCGCAGCGGCGCTTCGCCTGCGCGCCGACGTGGCGGCCACTGCGGACGTCGTCGTCAACGTGCAGGGCGACGAGCCGCTCGTGGAGCCGTCGGCGATCGACGCGTCGGCGCGACTGCTGCTCTCCCACCCGACGGCCGACATTGCTACGCTGAGCACGCCTCTCCCTGCCGCGCTGCTCCTCGACCCGAGCAAGGTCAAGGTGGTGTGCGGTCCGCCGCTGCACAGCGAGGGCCTTCTTCCGGTGAGCAGAGGCGCCGCAGGTCCGTCGGGCGGTGGCGCGGAGGGAGCCACCTGCCGGCGCGCGCTCTTCTTCAGCCGCGCGCCCATCGGCGTCGACCGGCAGACCCTCGCCTCGCTCCTGCTGCGGGGCGGCGGAGCAGCCGATCCCAACCCTGGCCCGAACCCTGGCCCGAACCCTGGCGAGTGCGCGGCGCAGCAACACGTCGGCCTGTACGCCTTTCGGCCGCCCTCCCTGCAGCGCTTCGTCGAGCTGCCTCCCTCGCGCCTGGAGGCACCGCCGAGATGCGAGCCTCCCCCCCCCCCCCAAAGCAACCTCCGAGACTCCTCTCTCCCTCTCTCCGAGACTCCTCTCTCCCTCTCTCCGAGACTCCTCTCTCCCTCTCTCCGAGACTCCTCTCTCCCTCTCTCCGAGACTCCTCTCTCCCTCTCTCCGAGACTCCTCTCTCCGAGCCAGGCGCTCGAGCAGCTCGAGCAGATGCGGGCCCTCGAGGCGGGGATGGCCATCCTCGTCGGCGAGGTACAGTCCGCACGCAGCGGCGTGGACACGAGGGAGGACTACGAGATGCTGCAGCGCGTGTGGAGGGAGAGAGAGGGGAGCGCCCGGCGTAGCGAGCGAGCGAAGCGGGCGGGGGCGACGGGTATATAAGTCTCGGAGAAACTTAGGGAAGGGTACACGTATATAACGTAAACCAGCACTCTTGACAGGCATTGTTGATTGTAGCAGGAAAAGAAAAAGAACGATTAGCGTTTTCTTCTTCGCCTGGCGCCATTATTGAGGATGAGCCGCGCCATCACGCATCATTCACGTCAGCTGGGTCGCCTTCGATGTAAAATTCCCATTTGCGCACGTTTTCTTCTTCGCATGATTCGGCAGAGGGCTGCGCGCAGGGCGATCCCCTCGGGCCCTTCCTCTTCGCGATTGGATACCACTGGACCCTGTTGGAGATGCAGGTCCGGCATCCGTCCACCCTGATTTGCGCGCACCTGATGACACCTACTGTGCCGATGATCCAGAGGCGGCGCTCTGCGCGATGCTCGAAGGCGACGTCATTGCGCAGCGATGCTGCGGCGTTGAGAGCAACCCGTCTAAGCGGTGCATTTGGGCGCCGGACCCTCGCTCGCTCGATTCGGTGCGCCATCGGGTGGACGTCAAGGGCACGCCGGACGCCCCGCCCCACGGCTCCTACGAGGGCGGCACGCTTCCGGGCATCCGCGTCCTCGGCGCCTTCCTTGGCGGTTCTGCGTGGTGCCGCGACAAACTGGTCAAGCGGGTCCGCAAGGCCTTGGAGCCGCTTCCGGGCATTCTCGCCCTGCGCGACTCCAAGAAGGTCCGGACGGCGCAGCAGCTCTCACAGGTGCTGATCCGTTTCTGCATGAATACCACGCTCACCTTCTTCCTCCGCACAATGCCTCCCAGCGTCACCCTGGCGGCGGCAAAGGAGCACGACAGGCTGATTGCAGACAGCCTGTACGAGCTTGTCGGCGGCGCGCGAGTCGGGCGCGATGATGACCGGTGGGTGCGGGCGCTCAAGCAGGCGCGTCTGCCAGTCAATATGGGCGGCATGGGCTTGACTAGCGCCGAGGACATTCGCGGCGCGGCGTGGGTTGGTACGTGGGCTCTCGTCACGCGGCCGATCCGCGAGCTACACAGGCCCTTCGCCGATCTCGACGTCTCGACCGCGCCCGGAGAGTGTTTCGACGAGCTGCGAGCGGCGCACACGCAGCTCGTCAGCAACCACGACCTCACCGACAAGCGCCAGCGGAGCTGGCGGACGCAGGTCGTGTGCCGGGAGGTGGTGAGCCCGGGCACTGCGACCAACGAGGCGAAGGCGGAGCCGAGGTTCCGCTTCTATCCGCACGGGCTGACGCCGGCTGCGGAGCTGCTTCCCCTGGCCCAGTTCTCGTCCACCAACGAGTTCTTGCACCAGGCGCAGCGACGGTACACCTCTGGCGTGCACCATGCTAACTGGCTCGACCTTGCCAAGGAGCTTACCGACGAGGCGCTTCGCAGCGGCGGCCGCAAGGCGCCCTCCAAAGGCAACAAGGTCGGAAGACGCAAGAACCACAAATGCTGGCGAGAGGCGATCCGTTTTGTCGCCGTCAGCCAACCAGGGGCCGGCGCCTTCCTCAACGCCATCCCCATGCGTGATGATATGAAGATGGAGTCCTGGGCGATGCGCGTGTCACCGTTCAGCGCCGCCTTGGGCGCTCCCCCTTGATGTCGCCTGCCAGGCGGTGGAGGCAGGCAAGAGGGCACCCAGCGGCCAGCTACACGACGTCCTTGGCGACGCCGCGATGGTTAACCCTCGGTCAAAGCATGCTACAAGACACAAATTTCTACTCAAACGTTTGATCAAATGCCTCCGCTCGGCGTGGGGCATGATCATCGAGATGGAGCCGACTGCACACCTCAGTTACAGTAATCCAAAACAACCTGACGTGGCGGCGGCAAACATCGGCAGGGGGCACAGGCGCCTTGTTGCCGATCTGAAGCTTACGAGTTCGCTCGCGAGCAACAGCAAGGGCAAGGATGGAGAGGGTGAAATTCGGCTCGGCTGGAAGGGGGCCTATGTACGTTTTGGCAACACGGAGACCGAGCTGCTCAAGTTGGTCAAAGGGCGCGGCAAGTGGTCTCCGTCGGGAGCGACGGCAGCGGCGGTGGCGGGGGAGGAGGAGGAGGCCGAGGAGGAGGGGGAGGAGGGGGAGGAGGAGGATGCCCCCAAGGGAAAGCTCCAGCAGCTGGATGGCGATTACCGCTTTGCGCGGGAGCAGGATTGCGATCTACGTTTGTTTGATTTTGAGGCTTTCGGAGGCTTTGGAAAGGAGGTTCGCAGCACCCTGAGGGAGGCGGCGGACCAGCTGAGCAACAAACTTTCGCACGCTCAGCACCTGGACGAGGTCACATGGACCACCAAGAACTGGCACGGGCTGCAGATGCAGCGCTTGTCTGTCGTCCTCCACACCGCCGTGGCGTGGCAGACGGTGAACGAACGAGCTAGCGTGCGGGGAGAGCGGCATTGTGCATGGTGCGGAGTGCATTGCCGTTCTTAACGGAGTTGCTTAGGCGGCTCCGGTGGTGAGCCGGTGTGTGTGCCAGTCCGCGCCAGTCCGCGCCCTTGTCGTGCCAGTGTGCTGTGAGACAGGCTTGCGTTCTAAGAATTCTTCTTCGCATGAGCCGCCCGTGTGCCAGCGCAACCTGGGCGCTGCGCGCCCTCCTCGGGTTCTCGAGGCCAGCGCGGCGGTCAACCAAGTCGACGTCAACGGCGCCACGATCGACTGCGTCCGTCTGATGATCGCCGCCGGCGCTGCGGTGACCAAGCAGACGCTGACGGCTTCACGCCGCTGTGCCAGAATGGTCACCTCGAGATCGCCAGGCTGCTTGTCAAGGCTCGCGCGGCGGTCGACCAAGCCCAGAACGGCGGCTGCACGCCCCTGCACGTTGCGTGCAAGGAGGGCCACCCCGCCGTCGTGCTCTGCCTGCTGCGGGCGGGCGCTGACACAGCGGCGCGCACCTCCGGCGGGCGTACACCGCTGCAGCTGGCTAAGGAGGAGGGCCACGCCGAGTGTGAGCGTGCCATTGAGGCGACGGCGAGGGAGGCGAAGAGAGCGGAGATTGAGGCGAAGGTGGAGAGGGCAGTGGCGGAGAGGGCGGCGGCCGTGAGGGTGGAGGCCGAGAGGGCGGCCGAGGAGGCTGCGGCGGCGCTGCTGGCGGAGGAGGAGTCGGAGAAGTGCGCCGAGGAGAAGAAGAAGGCCAAGAAGAGAGGCAAGAAGAAGAAGCAGGGCGGCGGGGGAGGCGCTGGGACGTCGCAAGAGGCCGAGGCGCCGGCGGAAGAGGGAGAAGAGGAGGCGGTGGCGGCGGCGGAGGAGGCGGAGCTTGCGGCGGCGCTTGAGGAGAGCGCGAGGCTGGAGGAGGGGAGGCGGGCGGCGGAGGCGCAAGGGCCGTCCTCGGCTGCAGAGGCGCCGGCTCCGAGGGAGGAGGAGCCGCCGGCCGACTTCATCTGCCCGATCACGACCGAGCTCATGAGTGACCCGGTGATGGCGGCGGACGGGCATTCGTACGAGCGGTCGGCGATCGAGCGCTGGCTCGCGACCAAGTCGACGAGCCCGATGACGGGCGAAGCGCTCGTGCAAAGCTTCCTAGCCCCCAACCACACACGCTGCGCCGGCAGATTCGTGAGTGGGAAGAGGCGAACCGCATGCTGATGAGCGCAGCGCTCGCGCCGCCCGCCACCGCGCGGGCGCAGCATGCACAGCTCATACGTAATAGCTCACGTACAGTTACACACCGCGATCACACCCTCCCGGCTCCCGGTCTCGAGCGACGCCTCGCCCTCGGCCCTTTCTCTCTTTGGAATGCTGTAGCCCCTGTACAAAGACCACGAAAGGCGGCGCGCGGGCGCTCTTGGGCGTTGCCGTTGGGGGCCTTGCCCCCCACACCACCTCTTGTGTGTGTGGAGCAGAGAAGTTTACTACCCACGCTGCCTGACTTAATCGCACCACTCAAGCGGACCCCTCGTGTTCGGGCTGCGGCAGCACCGAGATGCAGCTGACGGCGACGCGGCGGGGCGGGTTGGAAGGCGCCTCGGCCGCCCGCCCCTCGCCCGCCGCTCTCTCCGCCGGGGAGATGACCCAGAGCGCGGAGCCTACCAACAAGGAGAGTCGGCCTTCCTGCTCGTGGTATCGATGACTAGTTGGAGACGGATCAGAGCGCGGAACCGTCTCCTCCGCCGCCTGGCGCGGCGATAGTTGGCATGCCCCCTCGCGCCTATTCACAGCTCTTCTATTCACAGCTCTTCTATCACAGCGCGGCGAGGGTTGGCATGCTCCCTCGCGCCTCGGAGCGGCTCGGCCGGAGATGCTGGCACCGGATCGAGATGCTCTTGCTGTGAGGCGGGCCGAGCGCCAAATCGACGCGCCCGTCCGCGGAGCCGGAAGCGCGCGAGACGACCGTGCCGATGGAGCCGTTGATGTGCGCCTGCGGATCGTGCCGCGACAGGTCCTGGCGGTGCCTCTCTCTCCCGCAAACGGTCGGTCGGTCCTCCCGGCCGCTGCTGCACCGGCCGCTGCTGCACCTGCGTCTCGAGGCCTTGGACGAGCATCCGCGCGCCGCCGACGAGCTGGCGGCGAGAGGGCGAGGCGCCCCCCTCCCCGCAGCTGTGTGGCGCCCCTCGCGTGCAGAGCCGCGCCTCTGTTCGCTCCGGCCGCTCGCCGACGACGATCGCTTCGGTCTCGTGCAGCGCCCACGCCTGCGGAGAGGTGGGGAGAGATGGGGAGAGATGGGGAGATCACGCCTGCTCGTCGGCGAGGGAGATGTGGGGAGAGGTGGGGAGAGATGGGGAGATCACGCCTGCTCGTCGGCGAGGGAGATGTGGGGAGAGGTGGGGAGAGATGGGGAGATCACGCCTGCTCGTCGGCGAGGGTGATGTGGGGAGAGGTGGGGAGAGATGGGGAGATCACGCCTGCTCGTCGGCGAGGGTGATGTGGGGAGAGGTGGGGAGAGATGGGGAGATGTGGGGAGATGTGGGGAGATGTGGGGAGAGGTGGGGAGAGATGGGGAGATCACGCCTGCTCGTCGGCGAGGGAGAGGTGGGGAGAGGTGGGGAGAGATGGGGAGATCACGCCTGCTCGTCGGCGAGGGTGATGTGGGGAGAGGTGGGGAGAGATGGGGAGATCACGCCTGCTCGTCGGCGAGGGTGATGTGGGGAGAGGTGGGGAGAGATGGGGAGATCACGCCTGCTCGTCGGCGAGGGTGATGTGGGGAGAGATGGGGAGAGATGGGGAGATCACGCCTGCTCGTCGGCGAGGGTGATGTGGGGAGAGATGGGGAGAGATGGGGAGATCACGCCTGCTCGTCGGCGAGGTCGCCAAACGAGTCGACCGCCTCGTCGGCGAGCGGGGAGAGGAAGGTGTCGTGCCCGCCCAGCACGAGGACCACGGCGCCGCCGTGCAGCGTGCCGGCGGTGGCGTTGGCGTGTGGCGTGCGGTGCGCCCGCTCGTGGGGGAGCACGCACCGCTCCCAGGCGGAGACAGCCGCAGGGCGGAGGCCTAGTGCTGGTGCATTGGAGTACGACGAGAGATTGCTTGTAGCAAACTCTCCAGGCAGCCGCAGGGCGAGCTCCTAGCTCCGACGGGAGGAGACCTCTCCTCAGGTCGAGCAGCCAGACCTATTCACAGCTCTTCTATTCACAGCCCTTCTGTTCACAGCCCTCCTCAGGTCGAGCAGCCAGACGTCGTCGAAGGCGGGGCCCGGCGTGAGGGGGAGGTAGGTCGCCAGGGCGGCAGCCCTGCCGGGCAGAGGAGGAGCGGGCTCGGGTCAGGGTCGGGGGGAGCGTGGGAGGGAGGTGGCCAACAGCGCGGCGGGCCAAGCTCTGCAGCCTCTGGCGAGGTATGCGACGAGGAGGTCTGGGGAGATGTGGGGAGATGTGGGGAGATCGTACCGGGCTCTGCATCCTCCGGCGAGGAGGAGGCGGTCGCGAGAGACGGCGAGGGCGGCGCGGGAGCGGGCGAAGCCGTGCGGCAGCCTGGCGGCCAGCTCGAGCCACCGACCGGAGCTGAGGTCGAAGGCCCACGTGTCGTCGAGAGCCGCGAACACCTCCTCCCCGCCCTGTTCACAGCTCTTCTGCTCACAGCTCCTCTCTTCACAGGGCCGCGTACCCCCCCTCCCCGCCCCCCGCCGCAGGCCCCAGCCCGCAGCAGGCGAGGAGGAGGTATGGGGAGATATGGGGAGATGGTACCGCCGCAGGCCCCAGCCCACAGCAAGCGAGGAGGAGGCCCCTCCCGGCGGCGGGGTGGTCGTAGTGGGCCGCGGAGTGGAAGGCGCGAGGCGACGGCGCCGGCCCGAGGAGGTGCGGAGAGAGAGAGCTGCTCCAGCCAACGGAGACAGAGGCGGCCGCTACGCCGCTTGCTTTGCGCGGGAGGGAGGCGTGCCGGAGGGAGAAGAGGCGGAGGTCGAGGAGCGGGGAGATGGTGCGGTCGTGCCCGCCGAGCAGGGCGAGCGAGTCGTCGCCCGCGGCCTCGCGGCGCGGGAGCAGAGTCAGGGTGTGGTGAAAGCGAGCCACCGGCGCAGCTCCCTCGACGTGATCTGGCGGAGAGGCGGGCAGCCAGGACCACTCCTCCGGCGGGTGCGACAGCGGGCCGAGGAGCCAGGTCTGGCTGTCGCGGTAGCCAGGCGCGCAGAGGCCCCCGTGCAAGACTGCCCACTCCTCCTCGCCGCTCCGCAGCACGCGCCCGCCGCCAGAGTCGCTGTTGAAGCATCGCGGCGACGGGCAGCGAGCGTCCGAATGGGCCGCCACCCGCACCCAGGCACCGGATGCCAGGTCGCAAGCCCACGTGTCGCAGAAGAAGCGGCGGCCGTCGCGCCCTCCAAAGAGGATCAGACGCGTGCCGCCGCTGCAGGTGAGGACGCAGCCGTGCTGCCGCCAGTCCGGTGCTTCGCCACTCGATCCGGGCAGCGAGCGCCAGTGAGCCTGGTCGAGCGTGAGCAAGGACCGGACCGCCGCGCGGGCGCCGAGCGGAGCGGGCGCCACGCCACCGGTCAAGGAGGCCCACACGGCCGCCCAGGCCTCCTCGGCTTGGCGGACGGCTCCGGCAACAGCTGCGCAGCAGCACGCAAAGCGGCCGAGCCACGGCAGCTTTACATGCACGCCGATGGCGGCAATCAGTTCTGGAGGCAGGCTTTCGAGCGTGGGAGCATCGGAGGAGGAGTCGGGCGCGCTGTCCGAGGGGAGGGTGTGCGGGTGCATTCCCGTGCCGTGAGGGCTCGCTGAAGCGCCGCGGCAACCAGCAGCGCTCAGAGCCCCGCGGAACGCTGGGTCTCTCCCGGAGCGCGATTTTTTTTGGCCAGGCCGCGATTTTTTTTTGAGCTAGCCTTCGATGTTATGAAACAAACCATATTCTCGGACCCACAGACATCCCGCACACCCGCCGCCCCCGCGCGCGCCCCACCCCGGCCGGGAGAAAGGCGAGTGACAGTTTGGGACGGCGACAGCCCGAGTATGTTGAGTCCTGGCTTGGAACGCAGTGAAACCGCCCCCTTCCCAACCCTCTCAGGGACGGACGCATTTCCCCCCTTTCAAAGGCGGTTTCGAAGTTGATGAGACCTCGTCCCCCCCTCTCCAATGAAAAGCGTAAAAAGAGGCGCGGAACAGGCCGGAAGCGCCGCTTGGACGTGGGTCACACAATGGCAGCGCTCCAGACGCGCTCTGGTAGCTGCCAATGAAGCTGTAGCCCATCGCGCGCGCGCCGGACGGCCTCTGCACCTCTACTGCAGTGCCCTCCTGCACCGAGCGACGCGTCAAATCTTTGTTGCTGCCCATGACCGGCGGCGGCTCCGAGCTTGGGCGAGCGAGCCCTGGCTGAGCTGAGCCACTGCGGTCGCAATGCGGCGCTGCGGTCGGTGCAGAGTGGCCGTCCGCGTACGGCGTCGTACGCGCACTGCCGCTCTGCCTCAGTGGCGTGCGGCTTGGGCCAACTGAAGGTCGCTCTCCGACCTCGCTCGCCGAGCTCACAATCCGGCGCGAGCCGCATCGAGTGGAAGTTCGACTTCAGCTGCCGCGAGTGGATGGACTGCCTTGTCGAGTGCGAGCAGTTGGGCTCCGCCGGGAGCATGAGGTGCAACGTGTTCTCTGGGCGCCAGCAGACGCGAGCGCGCGAGCGCGTGTTGAACCGGACGCTCCAGAGCAACACTCAAGATACACTCCAAGGGGGTACACGTTTTTTTCTTCGGGTTCGGGGCCCAAGAGTACACTCTTGGCGACGAAACCGAAGAGGGTTGGCCGCTTGGCCCCGGGGTGGTTTCATTGCGAAAGTGAGACCCCGGAGAGAGAATTTTAGCAATACCTAAACAACTCTATAACCAGACCCCTCCCTTGGGGAGCCCTTGGTGTGTGTGTGTGTGTGTGAGAGAGAGAGAGATTTTTAGCAATACCAAACAACTCTAACACTCACACGTAATTTGGGGCCTGGAGCCCTGTTCACGCGCGCGCGAGACGTGCAGACAGGGTTGCCAGGTGAGAGCGAATGGCGCGGTTCACGCCTCGCACAACAGAGAGAGAGATGCGCTCTGCATGGTGGGACATAAAAGAGAGCGAGTACTTGGGCGAGTAGGCCGTGCGGTCAACGCTGCCGCACGCGACTTTGCGCGCGAGGCGGCGCAGCTTGAGAACGGCGGTGGGCGAGAAGCCGCCGCCGAACGTCTCGTGGAGCAGCAGGTTGAAGTTGTTGCGCTTGACAAAGATCGCGTCGTGGTAGAAACCGCGATGCGCCTTGACGTAGCCGTGGCCGGTCTTGTGGTCGAAGGGTTGGCCGGGCTGCCCGCGCGCCTTGCAGCCCATGTTTAGGCGGCGGGCCTTTTCTTCTTGTGTGTGTGTGTGTGTGTGTGTGTGTGTGTGTGTGTGTGTGTGTGTGTGTGTGTGTGTGTGTGTGTGTGTGTGTGTGTGTGTGTGTGTGTGTGTGTGTGTGGTGTGGCCAGTGCGGTCATCGTAACCGCACGTAAAGAAGGGATGGGAGGACGACGGCGGCACGTCGCCACCACACGAACGAGGAAGGAAGGTGTGTTGCGTGAGAGAGATTTTTAGCAATACCAAACAACTCTAACACTCACACGTCATTTGGGGCCTGGAGCCCTGTTCACGCGCGCGCGAGACGTGCAGACAGGGTTGCCAGGTGAGAGCGAATGGCGCGGTTCACGCCTCGCACATGTGTTGTTGCGTGTGAGTACACACACACACACACACACACACACACACACACACACACACACACACACACACACACACACACACACACACACACACATCTTCTCCTCGCTTGGAGCACTTGGAGTGCAGTCGGTAACCTCACATCCAGGGCCGGTGAGCTGAGAAGCGCATCCAGCGGGCCGGATGATCGGGATCGGGCTACGGGCTAGAGAGCCCTGACCCCTAGCTAGGGGGGGTGCGCATTCGCAGGGCAAGGGCCTTAAAGTAAACACGGGTCTCCGAGGGTTAGTTCTGCGCTTTGGGTGTCCCCTAGCGGCGGAACGCCCCCTCTACTCGGAGCTAGTAAACACCAGACACTAGACACGAGCATGACGCACACTCTCACCCGACCTCGCCACTCAGGGCTCCTCCGCCCGATCTCCCCACCCCCCATCCGAGGGGGCTCCCCTCTCCTCCCGGTCCTCCCTCCTGTTCGATTTCCGATGGTTCGGCGTCGGCTGCGGAGCCCGCCTTCCCCTCTTATACTTCTTCGACCGCGGCCTCGCCGCCGTCTCGTCTTCGGGGGTTATTCTTGTTGCCTCCGCCTCCGGCGATCTCGTGCCCGACTCCTCGGGTGAGGGCGGCGGCATTCGATCGCCACGCCGCCCCTCCCCGGGGGGTGGGGCCAGCTCTCTTCGGTCGAGGACTCGCGCCCGCCCCCGCGGTCTCTCTATCGTCCTCGGCTCGTCCGTCCGTCCCGACTCTACTCGCAGAGGCCGCGTCAGCTCATCTCTCGCCTCCTCCGACAGCTGACCCCAGGCCCCCCCCGGGGCCCTCCGGTCTCGTGCGCTGATTTTTTTCTGACGAGCGATAGATCTCTCGGGCTCGGCGATTCGGGCTCGATAAGCTTGTCCTGCCCGAGTTGCCGGCGACAAGCTTATCCCGAGTTGCCTCCCCGCCCGTCACTGCAGCAAGCCTCTCTCTGCTCGTACATGCTGCGAGCGTCAACGCACCGCCTGATCGTCTGGTACAACGCGCGGCTGACGGCAGCGCCTTACTCCACCAAAGCCGTCGGCACCGGCGTGACCTATACTTTCAGCGACCTTACAGCACAGGCCATCGAGGCCGAGCCACGAGCTGTGGGAGAGCGCGTCGAACGGGCGCTCAAGTTCGGAGCCGTGGGCGGCCTGTGGGTCGGACCGCTGTTGACGCACTGGTTTAACTTTATGGAGCGCATGCTGCCGGGCGCGAGCCTGCGGCCGCTTGCGATCAAGCTCTTTGTGGACCAGACCGTGCAGGGCCCGTTGATGATCGGGTCCATGTTCTGCTGGTGCGCCCTGGCCAATGGCGCCTCGCTGCCCGCCATCCGCGCCAAGCTCGATGAGGAGCTCTTCTCGACGTGGTGCGCGTCCGTGTGGGTGTGGGCGCCTGTGCAGGTGCTCCAGCAAGCGGTGGTGCCTCTCCAGTACCGCGTCGCGGTGTCCAACCTAGTCTCGTACTTCTGGGACACCTACCTCTCGCTGCAGATGATGCCGGCGCCGGCGGAGGCGGGAGCGCCCGTCGATCCCTTCCCGCGGCAGGCGGCGACGGCGGCGGCGCCCGGCGCACAGCCGCTCTTGCGGCGCCGGTCGAGCACTTTCCTGCGCGACGAGCCACCCACTCCCAGTGAGGCCAAGCTGGTGAAGCGGCGATCGATCCTGGGTCCGGCAGAACACAAGTGATGGGGGAGGTGCACGTAGGCTGCATGTGCTCCATGGTGTGTTTATGCCGTACGTCGTAGATTTTAGTTGGGGAGCTGGAGTCCGCCATATCGAGAGATATGCCGCGAGCCGGGCGCGAGCATACAGTAAAAAGACCACTGGCCAGTGCCTCCTCTTTTCACAGCTCATGGACATGCCTTGCCTCATGGTAACGCCTGGCGGCGGGTCTCTTCACTGTACTTCACCGTTCACGGTTGCTCGGAGGGCAACGTCCAACGAGCGCGGAGCAGCACTTGGAGCACTTGGAGTGCACTTGGCGCACTAGTGCTCATCAGCCTCACATCCAGGGCAGTCGGTAACCGTGTGTATCGCGCGCCTTGCGGGGGGGGGCGCGGAAAAGAGGAACCTCTTAGCGCCATCGCCACGGTGCTCACATCCAGCGATTCGTTCGGCGCCAAAACTTGAGCGTGTCTGAGACGGATTTTCGTTGTTGCTTCCCCCGCTCCGCCGCCTCTCTCGTCGCGCGCTCGCCGCCGTGACGCTAGGTCGTCTCGTTTGGCGATGTCAACTAGCAGCTCGCGCCGACCCCGACAGCCGCCGCGGCCGCGCAAGCCGCCCACCGCCGCGCAGAGAGAGCGCGGCGACACCCGCCTCTACAACCCGGCTGCCGACTGCCCTCCTCTCCAACTGCGAACTAGCGGAGGCGAGGCAGCGGCGGCGCTGCGAAGCGAGCTGTGTCCACTGCTCCTGGCAAAGGGGCGCAACCACAGCTCAGTTCGCTTCGAACCTCAGCTGAGGTGGCAGCTGTTGTTGCTGCTACGGACGCCACAAACGCGTCCTCTTTTTCTAACCCCCTCCCTCTGGCGCCCGAGGTGGCCGCTGCCGCGCAGCAGCTGGGCCCCGATGTGCCACAAGCGACCAGGATTCTACGGCCTCTGCTTCGCGGGCGTGCCGCGCGCTTCCACCCTCTTTCTAGCACGTCCCGCACACGTTGGCCCAGACGACACGAGCGTGAGCGCTCGCAGGCGCGCTCGGAAACTCCTTCTCGCAGTACTTTATGGTGCGGGGCATCGCTGCAGTGGCGAGACTGCCCTTTCTCGACCCGCGGCCAGGCTTCTGCAAGAGGCGCCTCATCCCGGATGACCAAGGCGTCTGATCTCAGCCCGAGCGCAGCTGCTATCACATTTGAGGGAAGACTTTAAGCGAGAGAGATGGCCCCAACCGTCCGTGTGCTCCTGCTCAATGCAAGACGCCGGATGCACTGCAGGGCAAGCCCAGGCCGCGGAGCTTGGCGGCGCGAGCGTCTTCAAGTACCTCACCTCGAGCACACTCGATCCTCCACCGAAGAGGCTGGACGGCGGGAGAGCCCGTCAGGCGCAGCTACAACTGCACGAGAGTTGTGAGCTGTGCAGCAGAGGCGATCTTCGATCTTCCCTGCTGATGGGCAAGCCGCAGCCTGACGCACCGCTCGCCGGTACGTAGGAGGTCGCTTCGGCGACAACTACCCGCACTCTTGCGCCTCGGGGCTCGAGCACTTTGCTCCGATCATCCGCGGAGAGCTGCGCGCGATGGCGCGCCGCTGGCGTGACGAGCACCCCATGGTTGAGCTTGATGAGGCTGTAATCTACTTTCGGTGTGGCGATGTCTTCACACTGCCCCGGCTGGTTGGCTACGGCATCGTCCCTTATCACGTCTACCGGCGCGTCCTGCCCCCCGCGGTCGCATCGATTGGCATCGTCACAGGCCGCACATCGGGCGCGTGCCGGGAAGGCGAGGGCGGGTAGATGCACAGTGATACCGGGCAGTAATGCGGTTTGTGGTCCGGGCGGCATTTTCATCGCTCGTGGTTCTGTTGCAGGCCAGTCGGGTTGCACGCCTTCTTACTTCTGCGAGCGACTCGCCGCCGACTTCATGAAGGCTCTGGCGGAAGACTTTCCGCGGGCTCGACTCACGCTACGCAACCAGGACCCCCCCCCCCCCCCCCCCTTGCTCGCGGTGGCGATGGAATCGGAGCCTCACTGCGCCCGCCACCCCAAAACACAGGATTCCGTCGCCGCGAGCCTTTCGCGCCTCGTCCTCTCGCGCACCGCCGTCTGCAACCCATCCACGTTCTCGCTGTATCCGTGCCTCGCAGCCGAAGGCCGTGGCTTGCTCGTGGACTCCCCGCTCTACCCGTGGGTGCGCCGCCTCAACGGCGTCGATAGCACCTCTGTGCTGCGTGACCGCTTTGTCCCGGCCGACTGGTGCGCGCGAAGAGACGCCGACGCAAGTACCCGCCGGTAGTAGTATGTCGCGGAACGCCTCGTCAATGCTTCTGCTAGGTTTGCGCGCAAGTACACCAACCTGAGTGAAGACGAGGGCCTCAAGGTGCTCCTCGGGCTCTTGCGGACCCCGCGCGGGGCTCGCCTATCCTTTGAGAGATGAACACGTCTTCTCAGATCTCACTCTCGAACTCGTCTCTCTGACGTCCCCTCTGCCCTCAGCCCTCTGAGAGTTCGAGTCTCGCGGCCGCGGGACGCGCCCATAGGCCACAGAGACTTCACCACACAACACACAACAGTAAAAACCTTTCGGAGGTTGGACCTTAAAGATGATCGAATGTACCACCGGCTCCTCTCATCTAGAAGCGTCCACCACGACCTTGCGCCGGCCATGGTCCTCCTTTGTGCCCTTCATGCTCCAGTGCGGGTCATAGAATCCCTCAACACCAACGCGAAAATCGAGCGATACGCGCGTGTGTCTGCTCTCGTTCGCAGGCACGTGGTGAGAGCTCACGCTGCCGTGGAACGCGGCAATCTCACCGTAGCCGACGTCGAGAGGCGCGTCGTCGGCGGCGCCTTCGTGCGACTCGACCCAGAGCGTCGTGCGCGTGAGCTTCGGGTCCGTGAGCGGCAACCAAAAGTTGAGCTCCCCTCGCTGGTGGCCGTATTCGCCTATAGCAGCAAGGGGAAGCTCGCCACGCACCTCAAGCAGCTGCCGGGGAGCGGCGAAATCTCGCCGTCGTGGTGTCGCCGCACCGTCCGCTCGCTCGGCCCCGGCTGCAGCCGCAGCGTCGGCGGGTGCTGGTAGTAGAAGGTCGTCGCGCCTTCTGCGCCCGCCGCAACGCCCCCCCCCCCCTCTTTCCGCCGGCGGACGCGGACTCGTCAGAGGCAGCAGCTGCCGTCGCCGCCAGCGCCGCGTCGAGGCGCTCCTTGAGGTAGAGGGCCAAGCACCGTAGTGGTAAGGAAGACGGTCACCAAGACGCGCGACGGCGTGACGAGCGTTTCCGCGGCGGTGGCCGTCTTGTTGAGCGGACGGGGAGAGGGGGCGGGGCACCTTCCACCGAGCGGTCTAAGAATTCTACGAAAACAAGCCCCTCTCACAGCAGACTGGCACGAACTAGCACCACAAAAGGCACAGCAGACAACGGCCCCTTATGGTCTAAGAAAGAATTTTACAATGTCCCTCGCACAACAGTCAACACTGGGCACGGGACGCTATTGTTGACTTGAGAGCGCTACGCCAACGCCCAACGGGCGTGTTACAGAGTCACACACCTCACACCACACACGGCAAGCTCCTGTCATAGTCTCACCGTCCGTCTCCCGTGGTCCTGCTTCGTCCCCTTCATGCTCCAGGACGGATCAAAGTAGCCCTCAATGCCCACGCGGAAGTCAAGGGAGGCCCTCGTCCATTCGCTCGGATTGGCAGGCACGTGGTGCTTGCAGACTGTCCCGTGGAAGAGAGCAATCTCGCCGACGTCCACCTCAAACGGGTGGTCGTCGCCGGCGCCCTCGTGCGACTCAGCCCACAGCGTCGTCCTCGTGAGCAATCTATCCGTCAGCGGCATCCAGCAGTTGATCTCGCCCCTCTGGTGGCCGTACTCGGCGTCCGAGTGAGGGCGCACTGTGCGGGAGCTCGGCCCCGGCTGCAGTCGCAGCGTCGGCGGATACTGATAATAAAACGTCGTGGGGGCGTGGCACGCGCCGGCCGTTACGAGACGCGCCTTGAGGCTCGGCACCACTACCATCTCGACCAGATGCTCAAAGGCCGCCAGAAAGGGCGCGTCGGCCGCGAGGGCGAGGGTGAGGTGCTGCTGCGCGGCAGCGGCAGCACTGCCGCCCGAGCCGCGCAGCGCCTCCGCCGGCACCCGAAAATCCTCCAGCCGCCGCCGCGTCTCTCCGCCGCTGATGCTACTGCCGTTGTCTCCGTCGCGCGACAAGTCCTCAAAGCGGCCGACCCCGCTTCCCGCACGCTCAAGCAAACCCACCACCGCCCCGCGCAAGTCGTGCGTCGCCGAGTCGTACCGCAGCGTCGCCTGCTCGCACAGCGACGCGGGCAGCGCCGCGTGGGCTACCGCGGGGCCGGGGTCGGCCTTGCGGCCGCGTGAGTAGGCGGCGCGGTGCGTCGACGAGCGAAGGACCGCCTGCTGCCCCTTGGCCGCCTTGGCCGCCTGCGCCTTGCTCACCGCCGGCGGCTGCGGCTGCGGCCTCGCGTCCTCTCCGGGCGCCGCTGTCGCTGGCGCCACGTCTGGTGCTAGTGCTGGCGACGATGCCGGGCCGAGGGTAGCAGGCGCGCTCGCGACACGTCCATGACAGGGCGGGCTCGTGGTCCAAGAAGTACCGATCTGGTGGCGCGGGTCGATGGCAAAGACCGAGAGGCCGATGCGCCGCAGCCGCTGCGCCGCCGTGAGCGCCGCGAGCGGGTGGTCGTCGGGCAGCGCAAAGACAGTCACGATGCGCTTGAGGCACGGGCCGGTGCCGGCAGACGAGCCGTGGCAGCAGTTTGAGACCCCCTGGACGTAGCCGTGGGTCGTCTGCGCGGCGCCGTGCCACATGCGGTGCTGCGACACCGAGTGGAGCAGCGCCGCCTCACGCGCGGCTCCGTCGACGAAGGTCCCGTCGGTCGAGAGCTGAAGGTAGTCGAGCGAGCGGCCCGACGCGGCCGATGAGACGTTGAGCGCTAGGCGGACCAGCGGAACGTTTCCCTTGGCGACCGAGTTGTTGCCGTCCTGGTGGCACTTTGCCGAGCGGTCGTCGAGGCGACAATCGTCCTTGATGTCGATGCCGCCGTCCTCGCGCGCCCGCTGCAGCAGGCTCACCCATGTCTCTGCGTGCGGCAGCACGCTGCGCAGCAGCGCGCGCTGCGCCGGCCACGCGCACGACGACTCAAGCTCCGACCTGCGCGCGTGCGCCTTGTTCAGCCACACGATCGAGTTGGACTTGTTCGGCTCCAGCCGCAGCGAGTGCGCGCCGAGGTTGCGCCACAGCACCCAGTGCTGCGCGCCGGGGCGCAGCGCCCTGCCGCTCGTCGCCGTCGGCCCGCGCGCAAACGTCGCGACCACCTCGTCCACCACCGCCTGGCCTTGCTCGACGCCCATCTCGACGCTCTGCCCCGCGACCGCCACGCGCACCGCGCATGCAAACGGCCGCCGCTCGTGCCGAGGGCTGCGCGGGTCGGCGTCGGCGGGCCGGCAGCTGCCGAGCGTCTCCACGTCGAGGAGCGCCCCGAGATCGTCGTCGTCGCCGCCGCCACAGCAGCCGCCGCCGCCGCCGCCGCCGTCACCCGTCTGGCCCTCGTCGCCAAAGAGCTTCGCCTCGTCGCGAAGACGCGCGTGCACCTCCGCCGCGAGTGCCTGCTTCTGCTGCTCGAGCTCGGCCGCCGCCGCCGCCGCCGCAGCCGCCACCGCCTCACGCGCCGCCACCGCCTCCCGTGCCGCCTGCTGCGCCGCCGCCGCCTTCTCGGCCGCCGCGGCCGACGCGGGGGCCTTTTGAGCACTGCTGCCATTCTTTTTGGACGCCTGCTTGTCCTTGCGCGCAGCCGCCGGCGGGCGCAGCGGTGGCGGTGGCTGTGGCTGTGGCGGTGGCTGCTGCTGCTGCGGTCGAATCGCCGTGACAAGCAGGGCCTTGGATGGCCCCGCACCTCCGCCCTCCGCCTGATCTCCCTCGCCCGCAGTCGTCGACCTCTCACCACCGGAGCTTCCTCCTCCTGCTCCTCCTCCTCCTCCTCCCGCTGCTGCTGCTGCTGATGCTGCAGCTGAGGGCGGCTCAATCCATTGAAAGCGCACGCCGTGCTCGTCGCAAAACTCGCGCCACGCGCGCGCCTCGTGCTCCTCCCAGCCGACGTAGCCGCACCACTCGTCAAACACCTGTCAACAGAAGAGCTGTGAATAGAAGAGCTGTGAATAGACGTAGCCGCACCACTCGTCAAACACCACGACGGTGCCGACCCCGATGGCGCACGCGAGGCAGCGCAGCACTGTCTGCGTCGACGAGTACAGGTCGCAGTCGATGTGCAGGAAGGAGACGTGCAGAGGCAGCGCCACCTCCCCCACCGCCATCTCGCGCGCCAAGAACGCCGGCAGCGACGCGTCGAACCAGCCGCGGTGCAACCGCACGTTGGCCGCCACCTCGGGTAGCTCGCCGCCGCGATCAAAGAAGCCAGCCTCCCGCGCCGCCTAGGAACCTTCTAGGAACCTTCTAGGAACCTTCTAGGCGGCGTTAAAGAAGCCAGCCTCACGCGCCGCCTCGTTCGCGCCCGCTGCCGCCGTGTCGCCCTCCTGGCCGCGCCACCTCTCCGGCAAGCCTGGGGACGTGTCACGGACATGTCCTGGCCGTGTCACGGACATGTCCTGGCCGCGCCACAAGCCTTCGTGGAGGGTTCGTAGAAGTGCGCGCCGCCGTCTCGGCTACATCTCGGCTGTCTCTCGGCTACATCTCGGCCTTCGAAGGAGTCGAAGCCATGCACCGTGCTGCCGTGCGGCGCCCGCGCGGCGATGTAGTTGATGGAGGCGCCTAGACGAGAGAGAGCCGAGATACAGCCGATATCTAGCCGAGATCTAGCCGAGATGTAGTTGATGGAGGCGCCCGACGCGACTCCGAACTCGAGGAAGAGCCCGCGGGGCCGCGTGCGCCTCGCCTGCTGCCTCTCCTCCTCCCGGAGGGCAGCGTGCAGCAGAGCCCGCTTGCCGCGCTCGACTCTTCTCCGGGCTGCCTTTGCCTGCAGCCTCTGCCTGCGCAGCGCGGCCAGCGGGCCGGCGAGGCAGTCGAGCACCTGAGGACATGTCTCGGACATGTCACGGACGTGTCCTGGACAGCGGGCCGGCGAGGCAGTCGCACCAGCCGGCAGCCCCGCTCTGCGGCGAGCTGGGCGCCGGTGCGTCCGGCCGCGTCGCGCCGCGGCTCGTCGCAGCCGGCGCGCACCAGCGCCTCGAGGCAGTCTGCCCGGTCGTGCACGCAAGCGAGGTGGTAGGAGGTCCAACCCTCCGCCCCGTGACACGCGTTCGGGTCCGCGCGAGCCTGCAGCAGGAGCTCCACGGCGCTGGCGTGGCCGGCCACGGTTGCCGCCGCGAGCGCCTGCGCAGCCTCGGCAGCGAATGCCGCGGCACCGTCGCGGTGATGGCTTGAGACCCGCGATGCTGGCGACCCGACTTCGACGGCGTAGGCGCCGGGCTTCGACGTATGCACGTCGCCCATCCGGTTGCGCCTCCCACTTTTCAGCTGTGGGCCGCGCTCAAGGATGGAGCGAACGGCCTGCAGATCGCCGCAGCGTGCCGCGGCGGTGAGGGCCGAGGCGCTTTGGCGGATGTGGCTTTGGCGGATGTGCCGTCGCCAGCGCAGAAACCAGAGGGCCGCTGCGAGGGCGGCGAACGAGATCGCGACTTCTCGAGGCGGGTGCATTGGCAGCTGCTGCGCTTTAGGCTGCGCTGAGGCGACGGCAACGGACGCTGGATGGAGGCAGCTGGGTGGAACGCGCCGCAGAACCAGGTGCGTTGTGAGGCTGGGTGCGCCACCCAAGAGCCTAGGCAGGTGCGGATCGGCAAGAGCGCAATCGATCTTTTTGCCCTCTATCACCTTGGGTTGTAAGAACTTGAAACACACCACGCAGGGGCACAGCAAGCACGGATAGCCGTTGAGGAGACCAAGGGCGTAAGGTGTATGCGCAGCCACGGCCGTGCCGCGGTGGGCGCGCCACCTCCCGCGAGCGCGGCGGGATCGGAATTGCGGCCGGAGGGAAGGGCGAGCCGCCGCCGCCGCCGCCATATACCATCAGCGACGACGACCGCGGCTCGCCCCAAACGCCAGGCGCTGGATCGGCAGTAGGGCTTGGGCGGCGCAGCGTAGGCCTCGAGCCATACGAGTCGCCGACAACCCCCCTTCATCGACGTGATGGCCGCACCCGCTGCCGGCCGATGCAAGCTGCCGCCTCCACCGCACCAGCGATACTGGCCGCGGCTCGCCGCCACGCGCCGGCTCGGAAGAGGGGCTATCGGTGGCGCAGCAGAGCGGCATGCGTCGTCATTCGAGCAGCACCAGGTCCCCTCTTCGACGTGACGGCCGCTCCCGGAGCCGGCCGGTGCGCGCCCGACCCACGCCCCCCCCTCGCACCCCCCCCACCCCCCTGCGCGGCGCCCCCTTCCACTGCGCGCCGGCTCGAGCGCCTATTGCCAAATCGCGACTTTCGAGCGCAGTGCACGCGCCCCACACGGCACGCGAGCGCAGGAGAGTTTGCGGCAGAGCAGTACCGTGTACTAGCCGGAGGCATCGCGCCGAAAACCCCGCGCATTCCGCCCCAACAGAGGCTGAAGGAGGCAGATGTCGTTTAGCGACAATCGTTACGAAATGTAGCGTCACCGGGAGCTCTCCAAGCTGTCTTGGGTGGTTTCTTCGGAAGCCCCTGTCTCACAGCACACTGGCACGACAAGGGCGCGGACTGGCGCGGACTGGCACACACACCGGCTCACCACCGGAGCCGCCTAAGCGACTCCGTTAACGGCAATCCGCACCATGCACAATGCCGCTCTCCCCGCACGCTAGCTCGTTCACCGTCTGCCACGCCACGGCGGTGTGGAGGACGACACACAAGCGCTGCATCTGCAGCATTGATGCTCTTTTTTCTTTCATTTCTGTTTCCTAGTGTGCCATTCCGCCATTCCTCGCACCACAGGTACCTTACCAAAAGCACAGCAGACGGCACCCCCTTAGGCGCCGTCGAAGAGACCGGCGGCGGGCGTCTGTCTTTCTTTCTTCTTCCTCGTCGACGTTCAGGCTCGAGAGTCCCAGTGCAGCTCTCACCCAGTGGCAGTGCCCGCCCTGCGCTCTAGCGGCGGCCTCCCCACGGCCGCCCCGCGAGGCGGCGGCGCCTCTTTCGCTAGCGCACCGCGTCAAGCGTCGCCTGCACGTCGCGCTGCAGCGCCTCGTTGAGCGAGACGAGGCGGCGCAGGTTGTCCTGGTGCCGCGCGAGCCTGCGCACGCGGGGGGCGGTGCGAGCGGCGTGGTCAAGGCAAGGGGGCGGGCAACGGGGCGGGGGGGGGGGTAGCGTCAGCAAAGTGCCTGCAGCGGCGGAGCTGTGTCCCCAGATTGCCTCTCTACTCCCGCCCTCCGGGC